CCTGCAGGTTAGGGTCATTATCAAAATTGGCCTCGATGTTTCAATTTCATCATTATGAAACCCAACTTTTTAAAATCTAACCAAATTACACTCCGTCAACTTCACCGTTTGATTTTACGTTAAATTGTTATCAAATTACGCACACCATGTTAAAACAATAAAAGAAATTTCTTTTACACATCATCATAAAAGTGACTATCCTACTAGCCACGTACGTCATTAATTTAACAAAAAAAATCAAACAGTGAAGTTGATGAAGTGTATAATTTGGTCATATTTAAAAATGTTGAGTTTCATAGTGATGATGAAATTGAAACCCCAGAGCCCATTTCGATAATGACCGTAAATCTAAAAGGAGTAAATGTAGTTAATCCTAATAATAAAGCTGGCACCAGCTTCCTCCTCAGCTGCAGCATGATGCATATTTTCTTCAAAAATGAAACTAATTCCCAATGGTTTGGAGAATAATAAGAGACAGCATGTGTACATGCAAATATCCAGGTACGTGTTGAGCAAATATTGAGCCATGTGTAGGGTTAATTATTTCTATCTGAAATCGAAGACGGCTACGGCATGGCCCTCCCTCTGCAGGTTTCCAGTGTGTGACATAACAGATTGATCATCACTGCAAACAAATATGGATTGATGTACATCGTCCATTCATCAGCAACATATTTGGTATCGGTTCTCTTGTGGACCAAGTTCCTTGAACCCAAACAAAACTTGTAAAATGTCCAGGAAAATTGGAACCCCATGTTTCCAAAACCTTTGATTCTATGAACCTGGAAATTAATTGGGTGGTTATGATGATGACTTAGTGACTCGATGACTCATGATCAACTAGAGCCATGTGTTCGTAGTAGAGGGACTCTCTTCACAATGTATATCCAATTATTAAGCTATGGCATGGATATGGTCATCATCATATTGAATCATATGTCCTAGATCAAAATTGTTAAATCTTGCGTTACAACATACAAAATATTCATTCTCATCCTTGTTGTGAATTGATTTTGAGTTGGATGTCTTAATTTTAACATATTATCAAAGCAAGCAATTCATGTGTTAGGTTGAACAGTTGCACATGATTTTATTATTATAGTTTCCATTATTTCAAAACATGAGTGCGAATGTTTTTATCTTGGTTCTCTCCCTTTTCCAATTGATATTAGGTTAAATGTCTTAACTTCAACATATTATTGTAGTGCAAGCAATTCACATATTAGGCTAAGCAGTCATATATACTCTACATTGATGACTTTGGCCCCCAGGTCTCCCGATACGTGAGACGGCGTACTGAGAGTATATGCTTTTATTTCTATAGTTTGTTCCATTCGATGAATGTGAATGTTTTTATCTTGGTCACCACAACCACCATCATCATCATCATCACTGTGATTACCAATTACAACTACGAAAACATGCATGTTTTGTTGAAAAAAGTGAATGCAGATCCTAGCCATGCGGACTTCCAACCCTTTATATATTCAAAATTGTGTGTCTATATGTATAGACACAAACGTAGAAGAAGGAAAAGCAAGATTATTAACAATTATAATAACAATAATGAAGAATTAATGGATACAAGTTAAACATTGTGGACGAGCTCACAGGCTATGACTCATACGTATACCCTTTCTACACGTTGTGCTCAGGTTGGTATTCTGCTGCCACACTTACCATAAGCAGGTGAACATGCTTATTCTATCATTATAATGGCCTAATCAATTAGCCTTGACTCAATTTTTCAGTGTGATTGTGTCATACTCTCATGAATGTTACTAACACATTCGTTCTAATATGAGCAGATAACATGATTGATATATTCTAGATCTAGGATATAGTATTTTTGATACAAAAGATATGGGAGGAAGGGGAAATTGAACTTATGACCTTATTAGGTGCTAGTAGTTAATAAATAAATAAACATGTTAGAACAACAATGAAATTTATAACATTACGTGAAGGTGTGACAATAAAATTTGAAAAATAAACTCTACTATGATCTAGTAGTGAAAATAGAGTCGTAGAGCAAACACGGAAAAAAAAAAAAAAGGAAGACGAAGAGAAGCTTAGTCAATTGCTATAAATGTTATTTTCAGCAATTATCTGGAAGTGAATGCTACCAAATGATCAATTTTGATGTGCCAATTACTCTCACGCCCACAAGCATAAATTTCAATTGTCACATACTAGGGCCCCTCATTTATTCCATATCATATCCAATCCCAAAAGAAAAATTAATTAAGGGAGAGGTTGACACTCTGAATTAGACCTCACAAAACAAAGTGGATCACATTGCTTTCCATCCAGTCAGTGCCTCCATCTATATCCCGATTGCTGTCTGGGCCAAGCCAACTATGTCATGATCTACATATTATTACAGAATAATGCTGGAGACGGAGCTAGAGGGACAACGATGGCATGGCCCCATTGCGCATGTCATGGATATTTAGGGTCATTTTCATATAGGTCAAGGTGTCATGTTTTCATTGGTTCCTCACATCCACATTGTGCCTCATCCACTGAGCCACATGCACCCAACATTCACAACATGACTATTCAAAAGTCCACCTCGTATATTTATATTAGTGCTTATGTACTCTAGTACTCTTTGTTGAAGGAAGTTACGAGTTCAAATCTCATGAACGAGAATTGTTCAGTTCGAATACCATCAAGTTTCAGTTATTGTCAAAACTGACTGGTTTGCATATATATGCTGAGCATCAAGGACAGCTTTTCAAAGAAATAATTACAAGGTGGAAAGCATACATGATGTCTGGAAAATTACGCTTGTTTAATATTGCAGACTTAAGGCAGAAGAAGAACTACGTTTACTAAGACATGAATGACTGCAAAATGCCAAAGCCTATATGGCAAAGAACATATCATATCCAATTGTGATGATAATATCTGCAGATTAATGCCAAAAATTTGGCACACAAAGAACATATCATATCCAAAAATCCAATGCCAACTCACCCCATTCCAAATCCGATTCCTCCGTCCACATGGTTGCAATTAAATGAACGTTTAGGCGGCGCCATGTCTGAAAAAATAGGCATCCTTAAAACTAGAAGACAAAACAGAAACATCTGTGCCCAAAAAATGCACGGTGGATGGCCATATTAATACTGATATGTATATGTTCATGCATATGGTTCGAAACCTAAAGCTCTTTAGTTTGTTTCCTTGATCTACCAGGCAAAGAAATTAATAAGAGAGAAGAATCACATCGCACTAGTGGCTAGGCATAGGCATAGGCTTGGGCCCTGTGTGCCAGCAGATAACAAAGCATGCCCATGTTCATGTGTTCCATGGGGACATGTTTAAACATGCTTTTATGTGGATCAAAATCATCACTAGTTGCTAGGGCTGAGATGTTTGTCAATTGTCTGTCTGGTTCAACTAATTACATTAGATTAACGTTAATCGATGATTTTAATCAGACAGGAAAACCAACCATATCTTTATAAGTATCTGTAAACTACCACAAACAAACAAATACCTAGCAATATCATTAATCTAATCCCCATAGGTTAGGCATTGCAATATGGGATATATTAATTATAAAAGAATGATAATAATAATTATGGCATTAATCTAGGCATTAATCTAGGCAGATCTCTGATTTTGTTCCAACCATTCCACATGGGCAGATTTTGCTGCAGATTTAGAAAGCAATAAAATAACGAACAATCCGTGGAAGGATCCCTTTCCTGGATTTTGGGCATGGATATTCACATGAGAAGCAGAATCCACTAGGCAGTTTGGCATGTTAAGAAATAACTTCACATACATGCATGGGCAAAAACATTATCACTGATGACAAGTTTAACTCAAATCTATCAATCGATGTAATCCCATTTCTTCTTGTTAGAATTACAACTTACCAAAAGAATGTTTTATAAGTTTAAATGGAGATTAAAACATTCAGATAAGTTCTAATTCTGATATCTTCGTGGTTGCATGCAAACAGTTTACAACAATTGCAGAGATAGTGATCTTGACATGGGGTGCAATTGACTCACCAGGCCACAGCAGGCCTTTTGGTTGGCCCATCTTATAAAGCCCACTAAATGAAAAGAGAACCCTAGTCGGGCCTAGTAATCCCAAGTTATAGTCCCAAAGGCAGGCATAGCCTCACTAAGCAGGGAGACGACGTGCAAGAATTCTATATAGTGAGAGCCTTATATATGACCCTTAGGTGAGGTCCTATCTCTTAACTATTGGATTAGGCTAACCAATTTGATCCAACGGCTAACTAATTTGATCTAACGGTTAAGAGATAGAGTCTCAACTACAGTGAGGGGTAATAGGGAGGCTCACGAAGTAGTGCCAGTTTCCTTTCCTCAAAGCTTAGGTGCATTTCGCTCTATATAAATGATAAAATGTTGGGAGTTTCACTAAAACACCCAAAATGGGAGTTGAAATTATAAAAAAACCCAACACCCAAAACACTTTATAAACACACCCAAAAAATATACAATTGTTGATTTTGGGGTTGATTTTGGGTGTGTTTCTATGTTTAAATAGTACTTGGGTTTTTTTATAAATACATGTCTAGGATTGGGTTTATTTATAAATTTGTATAAAATGTTCTACAGAAGACCTCAAGACCCATTTGGTTCACAAAAAGAATTTAATGAGAAATCAAGGGAAAGCAAGGTATTTCACCCTGCTAATAACCATGTCTGGTAAGGTGGTAAGGAGGCGTTTGGTTCGTGAAAAGGAACTCATAGGAAATGAATTGCCATGTCTTTTGCCCAGGAGATGAGAAATGAAAAATCATGTTTGGTTCATACCAAAATGTTATGTTAGATCTATAGTTTTGGAATGTGCAACAGCAACTACACCGTTTGCTTGTTTAGTGTAGAAGGTGCCTTCTAGAGTTATTTGATTGGGCTGCTGTATAATTAGAGAGGGTGCAACTCAACCCTCCCTGGAGTTTCACCGGAATATTCCAATCAGTGCAGTTAAAAAGATAAAATCAACAAGTCTTAGATAACCATCTCACTCAATTTCTCAATTTGACCTATCTATTACATGGGTAAATTTCAATTAACAATCCATAGTTCAAAACGTTCTACAAGATAAACGCGATCTTCTTACATGCCATTATAATTAATAAAAACAAAGTACCCTGGACCAATTTGAACAGTTGAAAGTTCGAACAACACAAAACTGCTAACAAAATCTGAAATTAACTTAAGATTGCTAGAAAAGGCTGCTTAGAAAGAGGCGTAACTTAATGCTGCTGCACTAATTACTGGCAGAGCTGCTCAACTGCCGTCACAATCTGGGCAGGTTGAACAACAGTCACTTCCTCCAATGTTGCGGCATATGGAGTGGGAACATCCTGTGAAGACAGGCATATAATAGGGGCATCTAGATAATCATGGAAGTTCTCAGTGATTGCTGCAGTCAAGCTAGCACCAATTCCACCCGTCCGCATGCACTCCTCGACAATCAGCACACGGTGTGTTTTCTTCACTGAATTTCCTATTGTGTGAAGATCAAATGGTTTCAACGATCTAATATCAATCACTTCTGGATCATAACCCTTATTCACCAAAGTTTTGGCAGCCTGCATCACATGATACCTCATCCGAGAGTATGTCAATATAGTGACATGCTCCCCAGGCCTAACCATCTCAGCTTCCTCAAGAGAACACACATATTCTTCATCTGGAATTCTCTCCTTGAGATTGTATAGCAACACATGCTCAAAAAGAATCACTGGGTTATCACTTCGAATGGCAGCTTTCATCAAACCTTTGGCATTGTAAGGGGTTGAGCATGCTACCATTTGGATTCCAGGAATCGACTGAAAATAGGACTCTAGACGTTGCGAGTGCTCAGCCCCAAGTTGCCTTCCCACTCCACCAGGACCACGAATAACTACTGGAATTTTAAACTGACCCCCAGAAGTGTAGTGGAGCATACCACAGTTGTTGGAGATCTGGTTAAAGGCTAGAAGGAGAAATCCCATGTTCATACCCTCGATAATTGGTCTCAGACCAGTCATGGCAGCTCCAATACCCATACCTGTAAAGGAGTTCTCAGCAATAGGAGTATCAAGAACCCTGAGATCTCCATACTTATCAGCCAGGCCTTTGGTCACCTTGTACGATCCTCCATAGTGTCCCACATCTTCACCCATTACACATACAGTGGGATCCCTAGCCATCTCTTCTTCCAATCCTTCACGTAGGGCCTCAAAAAGCAGAAGTTCGTGCCTATGGAAAGAATGCTTATCTTGTCAACTCAATGAGTAACAGAGGAACCAAATAACTAACATAACTATACTATGATCCTGCAGATGTAGTTCTCATATATATATATCACTTCATAACCAACTCATCAATTTCAAGCAAAGATAAGTGCAGGGAGTATAGCACACACACGATATTGTGCCAACTCACAAGATAAAGATACACCCGCTTATGCATAGGGGAAAATATGCAGTGGAAAGGGAAAAAAAGAATGTAAATTCAATACATTTCAATTCAAAATATAAGTCAACCTACAAGGACACATCCAGCATGATTGTCAACTATTCATATTTTTATCTAATTAAGGAAATTATGAGCGTCTTATACTAAACAGTAAACAATGCATGTCTTCATTGCAGACCTAACAAATACACTTCCTTTGCAGGCATGTCGAGACTCAAGCATCAATGTAAAAGATTGCAAATTTTCGCATCTACGCACAGTAGAAAATGTAATTCTCATATTGTCATGTACAGACCCTGTTTTACAATTGCTTAAATTTTTACTCTTAAACAATTGAAGATAACAAATAATTGGAAATAAAAAATCTGACAAGGTGTAAATGTCATGCTAATGCTAGCCTACAATAGCGATACTGAATCTTAACACTGAATTACAGGCAAAAACCGCACGTTTGATAAGTGCAAAAATGTGAACTTGTGATGCATGAGCATCAAGTTTAGCCAAAAACAAAAGCTCACAAGCAAGCAAAGAAAAAGCAAAAACTGAAACTTTGCAATCCCAACAATATAAAAACATACCCAGGTTTCGATGCCGTCGAAGCCGCAGCGCTATCAGCCTTTGTCTAGAAAAAAAAAACACCCACAAGTAAAATCAGAACTCCACGCATTATGAATAACAAATTCAACACAATTTTCAAATCAATAAAAAAAAAAAAATTCAAAGAGAAAGAGAAAGATGATTAACTGCAACAGCATTGGTAATTAGCTGATCGGCCCGACGAGCTCTTGAATTCGGACCCGACTTAGACCCGGAATCAGATCTGACAACAAAGAAGCTCGCTTTCCTCCCTGAATCAAATCAATGAGCAAATAAGTAAACAAAAATAAATCAATTGCGCTGAAGAAAAGGCTAAAGAGGACCAGGGCAGACCTGGGAGGGATCTGCGAGAAGGGAGGTGAAGCTTCCTTGAGTTGGAGGAGACCGATATAGCAGCCGAAGTAGCTCCAAAACACTGAGAGACGGTAGCCATTGAATTTCAATTCTCGAGCAGAAATTGAAATTCCAAAAAACCAATTGAATAAAAAATGAAGCTAATGAATAAGAATTGGAGCGAGAGAGCAAGTTTATATGAGGATTTGGGCGGAGGGATTGAGAAATGGGTTTGGCGATTTAATTGAGAGGGATTTGCATTCACAGAGCGTCCCGCTTAGTTTTCATCGCCTCCATCTGGCGTTCTCATCCTCTGCATGTGGGTGTTGCACTACAATAGTGGAGAACAAGCCACGTAAGGGAGAAATGGTGGAGAAATTACGGGATTGGGTTTGTGTGTTTGAAAGGGGTTACGTGGAGAGTTGTGAGTGGGGGTTGTATAGTGCTGTGGAGGAGGTTATACGGTGTGGATTAAAGTTGCCGTTGGTGCTGTTCTTGTGTGAGGCACCATTTGGTGGCCTAGCTTAACCAACCGAAACAGGCAGCTCGTTAATGTCAACGTGCAGCTCACGTGATACCATTCATTAGAGAATCAAACGGCCTAAATTATTGGGTTCTAAATTGGCAAGCCCACCTCGGTTTAAGTCGAAATTTTGGGTTCCAACATTTGATAAGCAGAGTCATTCATTGATAAATGATCATTAAGAGTCATACTCGATATAATTGAAACAAGAATTCTCTTTCTTTATCATCAATTGAATCATTGTTCGAGACCCATGATTCTATTTTATCGTTTGCCCAAGAGTATTGAGTTTAAAGAGAAACCCAATCCTATAAAGTCACTATATAATTACTCTGATTCATAAAATATAAAGCCTCATTTTAGATATGCGTGTTATATTGTTTGATTGTCAATTAAAATCAACTATTTAGATATAACCAAATTTGTTCTGTAATGGTATGGAAAAGTATTTTAAATAGTCTCATTATATCGATATCATCCCGATATGTTGTGAAGATTGTTTATAGGGAGTTTCACTAGAACACCCAAAATAGGAGCTGAAATTATTAAAAAAAAACCAACACACAAAACACTTTATAAACACACCCAAAACCCATCATAACACGCACTCAAAACCCATTTATAAACACACCCAAAAAATATACAATTGTTGACTTTGAGGTTGATTTTGGGTGTGTTTCTATGTTTAAATAGTGTTTGGGTTTTTTTTTATAAATACATGTCTAGGATTGGGTAAACACCCAAAATGGGGGCTGAAATTATAAAAAAACCCAACACTCAAAACACTTTATAAACACACCCAAAACTCATCATTATGTTCAGACCAAAAAAAAAAAAAAAACTCATCATTACACACATTCAAAACCCATTTATAAACACACCCAATAAATATACAATTGTTGATTTTGGAGTTGATTTTAGGTGTGTTTCTATATTTAAATAGTGTTTGGATTTTTTTATAAATACATATCTAGAATTAAGTTTATTTATAAATTTGTAATTTTAATATTGTCAATTTGCTACCGCAATAGTGACATTTGAGATATCCAAAGTACTTTATTTACTTACAATTTTATTATATAAAAATATTTTTGGGTCAAATTATGGAACAAAATGTAATGGGTCGGCCCATTAGCCCATAAGGCCAACCCATATGATTTGTGGTCGTTATTATTTTCAGACAAACCAATCCCCTTACCTAAAATGGGAAATGGGAGAAAACGAAGAGAACAAAGAGGAATAGAAGAAAAGGGGCGTGGACAATGGAGCTTTTCTATCTCTTAAGCTCCATCCTGTCCACCTTCCTCACTTCCCTCACTCTCTCCCTCCTCCTCCCCTTCAAGACTCTCCTTCGCCGCTTCTCTTCACGCGCCGCCCCCTCTTCCTCCGTCTCACTATACGGAGGCACCGTCTGGCACGAGCGTCGCCGCCCCGTTCACCACTCTTTTCGCTATGACGTCCGCTACGCGCTCATTGACTTGGACCACGAGCCACAAGGCCTCCCCAACCACCTCTCCGCCGAGGAAGCTCGCCGCATTGCCGGCACCAATGGCCGGACGTAATCACTGATTAGCTAATCACTTGGTTTTGCTTATGCTTAATTACTGATTAGTTATATGCTAATAATTCATGTGTTTTGGTGAATTTGGTGTTGATGATGAACAGTTTGCTTTTGACAATACCGCAAAGTGTGGGATACGAGCAGAACCCATTGAGCTTGTACTACTGCTATGATAGTGATGACCAGCTTTTGCAAAAGTGCATTGCCGAGGTTTGTTTTTCACTTTGCTGCTTGTTTAAGTTGTATTTTTTAAAGATTATTGCTGCTGATATATATGTCATTATTAGGTAACCAACACACCATGGGGAGAAAGAGTGACATTTGTTTTCAACCCAAATTCTGATTTAGTGGCAAAGCCATTGCATGTCAGTCCTTTTATGGTATGTTACTATGTTTCAGTAGTAAATTGCTGTGCTCAATTCGTATTTGACAATTCTTGGTGTTGATAGGAACTTCTCTGTTTTGAAATTGATGAGTTCATCTACAGATTTTGTTGTAATGTTATCTCACTCATTTAGTAGTAGCTTTGACCAATCACAAGGACAGTGTCCTGTTTCCTTAAGTTTAGATGCACAATGGATGAAGTGGAGCATATAAGATTTTAGAAAAACATTGGTTGTGGCAGAATATCATACCACATTGTCATGTAGCAAACAAGAAAGCAAAAACTTTGAGGGGTACATTATACTAAGATCTTTCTATGTGCTGACTTAGAGAGTGGAAAATGCGCGGTATGTGCATTTTGTAGATGGATGGGTAAGGGAAGCTAGGACGATTTTTGGGGGGAATTCCCTCAACATGTGGTTGTGATTTCTGGCTTCTGATAGATGTTGTACTTTGTCTAATTGTAGTCATTTCACTGTTCCATTCTCAGCAGTAGGAAGAAAGTGTATCTTGTGGTCAGTTGAATTGTAAAAACTGTAGTGATCAACCATTTGCTAAGTTTTACTGAAATGTGTTTATGGTTTGTATGCCTTGCTCATTGTGCCAACTTTGAGAAACCATTTATAACATTTGCAGGATATGTTGGGGGATTGGAGTATCAGAGCAAATGCTCCTGACGATGATCTATTTGTTTCAATTTCAGTTCAACACCCTGAGCTTGGTAATTATTTCACAGCTACCCTAAAAGCCAAAAGGGTATCCTCATCATTGGTGTTTGATCATGCACTGTTTTTCTGGTTGATGCCGCACAAGGTTGCAGTGTGGATATATTGGCATGTAAGTATAGTAGGATAGCTGCTTTATTTGGTCTCTGCTGCACTCTAGATCTTACCATAAGCTGAATCTGATAAATTTAATGAAAATAAAAACTTTGGTTAGGAACTACTTATAGTTGGATCAGTTACACTAAGCGGACTTACCATACTTTGGACTAATTCAAGATTTAAGTCGGCTCTTCCAAGTTGAGAATATGTCTATGCTTCAACATTGAATCAAGTGCGGTTCTTTTTCTTTTACCATTTCTTTCCCAGGCCTTCAAACTCTGGTGGAAGAATGTATCATTTGTCCAACACCCAAGGTACACCAACCCTGCATACAGGGAGGAAGCTTTGGAACGTGATGAAAAACTTCAGTGCCGTCAGGCTGCCGGATTGGACAAAGATAAGCAGCATCTGCAATTTGAAGGAAGTGGTCAAGGCTGTATGGCTAGCAGGAAAAGCGAGGCTCGTTTTTGTACATGGAGAGATGCAAAGTGGCCTTGGTCTTAACTCCGAACGGTAGGACTTAGTGTTGTCCTCTATGTTAACATGGGAAGCAGCACTGGATTTGGGTAGTTCTCTTTGTTCTTGTTCCCTCCAAAGTTTGTATTTTGGTAGTATTCTACACAGTAGAAAAACCCATTGAACATTAAAATACATAATAACGCAAGCTATAAACCTAGACTGTAGCAGATTTTAGGAAAAGATCAAAGCAGATTATGTTTATGTCTCTTTTTGGGACACAAATTATGTATCAATCTATGTGGATCAGTTAAGCTCCCACTTGACTATGAGCAGCTACCTCTCACACTTTTTCTGTATATGATCATGTGGCTCAAATTTTCTATTTTTATTTAATTTGATTTCTATATTGATGGACTGCTAACAACTCTTTAGTTTTTCTAAATAAATAGTTTGGCTTAAAATGATACATCGTGGTGTCCACTAATAATTTTTTTAAGGGAATTTAAGGTTTTATGAAACTTTAAAAAATAGATCTGTCAATTGTCAACCGCAAGAAACGTTGTATTTCGATCCTCTGATTTTTCAGGTTTGTTGGGCTGCTTTTTCAGCACACAAATGAAGAAAGAATATACAAATACAATACAAGTAGTAATAGTATACTAGTCACAGGAAAGTAGAAGAAAATTCGAATTAGCATATAAGTTGAAAAGATTACGCAGTTGTTTGTTGGCCAGCTTTGGCAGTTCACCAATAAAATAAAAAAGATTGCGCAGTTCACAAGAAAGCTTTTGCTATGCTGCGACTCTTCTTACCGTGGGTCCAACATTTTTAGGAAATGTAAGTAAGAGCACTTTAATCCATTTTATCATGATAAAGGGGTTTGACAAGAAAGGGCAAATAATGGTATACATTATTCACGTGATTTTACTTTCCCATCCATTACCATGGTGGTAAGTAAAGGCAAACATTCACATGAGATATGAGAGGAGGAATTTGTATAAAGTTTTGGCGTGGGAAGTGAAGAACATGGCTAGATATTTATATATATAAATTGACCATTATCATCACACTGACATCAGCATGAGGACAGCACCCCATGCAACAATTCAGGTAATTCTTGCTTTTGGGTTGATATGAGTAAATCTGACTTTCCTTGCTGGGGGGCTTCTTCCAAGCTCGAGCTGCCTTTTGCCCTGGAAATAAGCACCGCTAGAAGTGCTCTAATTGGCCATGGTTATTTTTAAGAGAAAAAAAAATTGTAATTTTGGATATGTTGTCCCATTTAATCGATTCAAATTTTATAAAATTAAGAATGAAAGAAAGTTTCCACAATTTTATTGGGAAATCTGTGTGGTGTCCAGTTGCAACAACTTAATGTAATAATGTGCACATCATCGGGAAATTTTATCGGGTCGGCACGGCATCGCACTATTACGTGCATCTAACAATTTACTCATGCTATAACTCGTGTATTACGATACCCAAGTGCATGACATATTAACTATGTGATCCACTCATATATAATATGTGGACTAACAACACCACGTATCACTATGCCTCGTGATTGACTTGATGCGGAGCAGCAATCTGTTAATTTTACGGTGTAAGCGGGTGGCGCACGGCAAGTTGGCAACCAATAAATAAACCCACGCACCAGCCGACGAAGCTTTTGTCGAGTCACGGCTCAGCACCGCTGGATTTCTTTGGAGAGGTATCGATCACGTGCATGAAAATTAGAAAATGAAGTTGCCTTTTTTCTCAGGTCAGGCGGGCCAGAAACAAGATTAACTTCAACTTGAAGTTAGAGGAAGGACTCAATGTTTGGCGGCCACCGAATTAATAGAAAGTATGAACCGCCGCTCCTCTACACTGCCCAATGGGCATGTTTGGCACCCAAAAATTACTCCATTATGTTATTTACATGTTATAAATACATGTTCGGTACACATATTTATTTGGTGAGAGTATCTAGCAATGCTCATAATACCACTTTTCTTGCTACAAAGTTTTCAAATAACGTTATTATACATGTACAGGGACGGAGCCAGGATTCAAACTTTGAGGGGGCCAAAAAATTAACATGTACCAAATATTTAGACCAAGAAAAAAAAATATAGATTGTAGAAGAAAAAAAAGTATATTAAACTTATTGGTGAAAACTTAGAAAACATTGGAGGGGTCAGGGCCACCTCTGGCCTAAAGGTGGCTCCGCCTTTGTACATGTACAATATCGACATAATATTGATAATTTATTTGACTATGTTTATCATCGAAATAATGAGACAATATCGACACGTAATATTGAAAGAAAAGTTTTTCGAAAACTCACATTATCGTGATTTAAGGGGAAAAAAAAAAAAGATGCTTGGAAATAGAAAAAATGTTTTCCTTACAGAAAAGAATTGGCTTACAAATGTTGATGTGGTGAATCATGTGAGAAATGTAATGTTAAATCGTAGTGGGTGGAAAACTATCATATGCCGTAGACGTCGTGTCCATTGATGTGAGGTGGTAGGATAATGTGATGCACATGGTATAATTGTTATTTTAGTTGTCATATCAATTTATAAAGAAATTTTAATAACTAAAAAACTTTTGTACGAATAATTGGTGGTGACAACAGTTTTGCTTTTTCATATAACTAGTTTCTTAAGCACCAGAAAAGTAGATAATAATGACGTCGTTTCAGTAAAACAGCACTACTTTTCATCTTTATGGTGATGAAGATAATGTTTTTATTTTATTTTAATCAATAACAGAAATAAAGAAGGAGAAGAAAAAGCTAAAAAAGAGGTGCTCTTTTTTTGTTGGAGTAAATTTTGGGCATCATGGGCTTAATTTGTGTCCAGATATTCGGAGGCACTAGGTTTGACGTGGGAGGGTTTTGAAAAGTAAGCAAAGAATTATCGAGTGTACAAAGCAAATAATATCATCCTCAGTTAAGTTTTTTGAATACAAAAGTGAAGGAGGTTTTTCACATGCGCACACTATCAAGAGGCTCTGAGGGTTCGAACTTTAAACAACTGGTGGTCTACAAATCAAGATCTTTTTTTATTGGGTTAGATCCCGTTGGCAATCGGTTATGGAATGATGAGAAGAAATTATGTTTATGGTAAAAAGAAACCAAGAATTCCTTTTTGCACCATGTTCAATTCATCTAACTCTTCCTTGATCCATAAATAAATTAATAAATTGATACAAAGTTTGTGTGTGGTTCAACTTTCAAGAAGTGACCAAGCCGACAGGCAGCCACAGAAACCAAATTCCACGTCCCCTCCCAGTTTTGGTATTTACACATGTAATTTGTTTTCTTTCTATTGGCTCGTATTCCTTGTTTTCTACCGACGCACAAATACAAATACCAAAACAATTCTTTAAAAAGAAAGTACAGGTTGAGGTCGATGGTGAAGAAAGTGGTGCTCAGTCTGCCGACTAAAAGGCACGTGACTGAATATGATAGCAGTCGAAAATTCCAACCAGTGAAGAAAAAAGAACGGCACAAGGAAAATAAAGGAGAAAGCAGCGGCTATGGGTAGCTGTACCGTTTTTGGAGGGCATAATTGAATGAAGAAAAAAAAAAAACGTTAAAATAGAAAGAAGTTGAAAAAATTGTTTTTCACGTGCGTGAATTGAAAATGGGTAGCTCCTCCTCATCCATCCTCGTCCGCCGCTAGCGCAACTGGCCACCCTTTTGGTTTTAAATTAAACGTGCGTGCGTTACGTGTTTGATAGGTGTTGTTTAGTTTTTAGCCCCAAGTCACATTAATGTGGGGCCCTTGAAACACTTTGTTTTTCTCCCACAGCCACACACGAGATATATAAATATAAGTCTCATTTGATAACACTAAAGACTCACTCGTTCCTCCATCTTCTTCATCATCTTTTATAAAGAAATCAGAATGAGGAGAAACTGCAACCTGGAGCTTCAGCTCCTTCATCCTTCTTATGAAACCCATAAAAAACAGCAAGAGCAAGAACAACACGAAGAACAGCAGCAAAAGCAGCAGCAGATGATGACTATTTTTTATAATGGAGCGATGTGCGTTCGTGATGTTACAGAGCTTCAGGTATGTCATCTCATCTGCGTTAAGAGTTTTTCTTCTTGTTTTTTTTTTGTCTTTTCTTTTGTTTTCGTGTTGGCCGGACAAATTTTTGCAAACGGATCAACTGGCTTAATTCACGTCTGTTAGGAAAATTAAGTATAGATTAAATGAAATATTAGCTATTTTTAGCAAGTTATGCAGATATGTTAGGCATGAAGAACTGTAGAGATGTGTGGCTGCTTCATGCCGACAAGTGGGTGGCCTGCCAATATCGTGTGTTGACTCAAAATTCCACGGAAGATATTTTGTTCATCATCAGAATCATAGAAATTGAAAATAGACATGTACTTGGGTTTTGACCCAAAAAAAACCCACAGATTTGACCTACCTAAATATTAGTACATTTTAAAAGTTGAATTACTTGAAAGTTTCTCATTAATCCTCCAACTAATTATGCTAATGAAATGTTTTGCAGGCTAGAAGCATCCTTTTTCTTGCAAACAGAGAAATGGAGGAAAGGGTAAAGAGTCCATTTACTCCAAGTGGATCAGAACTATCTTCACCAACTGTGATGTCTCCACTGTGTAGCCCTGTTGCTGGCTTGTCTATGAAGAGATCACTCCAGAGGTTTTTGCAGAAGAGGAAGCTTAGGGTTCAAGCAACATCTCCATACCATCACTAGAAACCCATTTTTCGATTGATTAATTGCAAATTTGGTTGCATTTTTTTGTTTTTTTGTTTGTTAATCGAGGCGATAAGGGAGATTTGTAGACAGTATCTAGCTAGGAATCCTTAATGAAATGATGATATATTAGCCTTCTTGTACATAATCGCTTCAAATCATGTTCATCCATATATTTAAAGCCAAAAAAATCCTTATGATATATTATGTCTTGATTGATTTAAGATCTTCTTGTCACATGTGGTTTTATTTTGCTATCGGATTATGACACGATTTTTTTTAATATATATATATATATATATTTATAAGGGGATGATGAGATGAACAGATCTATGAAAATTACTTAAATTTTGGCAAAAAAAAGAGTACAAACTTCTATGAACAGATCTCAGAAAATTCTTCATGATTTGTGCATGCAATAAACAATCTTCTTTTTTCAATGCTAATTAAGCTTGGTCAGCGAACACTCACAACAAATTGCGGTTCAAATCGCATAAATTAATTAGCAAGTTAATAGTGGAGGTGTACATAGCTTGAATGATAGACCACTTATTTCGAGCAAAACTTATACTAACATGTTTATTTATCAGGAATGAGTATTGGAATGATTTCAATTCATGCTTCTCTTGTATGAACTAATATATGAGTATTGGAATGATTCAAATCTTGACTTCTCCGCGTTTACTAGCACTTAAGGAATAAAAAATTATGTAGATTACACCTTAAAATCCGTAATCAAATACCCTCAAAATCGGGAATGAGATCAACTAGGGGGAGTAGTTGATTCGATTCCAATACCTTGATTCCCCTATCTAAATTCCTCAATTCATGATTTCAATTCCTAATAAGTAAATTTAGCCAAAGTAATTAACATGATTCAAGAGAATTAATTTCTGATTGAGATCTTTCTGTATTCATAGCCTTCTCGAACTAATTTCTGATTCAAGAGAATGGGAGCGACGGGAGTAGATTTGATCTAGCTAGGTACGTAGCCTTGGAGTTTTTATACGAAATTCATCTCACTATATTTAGGTGGCCAATTACTCAAGTATTAGACATTCTGACCTAACAACTGGGCAAAAAGAGATTGAAAAAAAAAACCCTCCCACCAGCTAATTTAATCATAATATAAATACATATGTAGTTAACTGTAACTGTGGAGATTCGAATGCAGGACCTCAAATAAATAAGAAAATACTGCTAACCACTTAAAGTCAAACCCCTTTATTTGACTTAGTGAAGTGTTTAGACTTATCGAGACTTGGGTTTTCACATAAAACTAACCAATAAAGGTTAAATTGAATTATAATTAAAGCCAAGGAAAATTGGAAAATGGTGTTGGAGCTATAATTATTGGAAATAGGTGTCTGTCATGCGAAATTGCATGGCAATTTCCTGGAAAGATATTTATGTTTTCACTCATAGCTAAGTTACGACTCAAATATGAGGACCACTTGTCTGCTTTTCCAACTTCTGTTTGGAAAATTGCACTTCGTGGGACACAAATTGGAAGGTTCCCTTAAGTTACATGGCAACAGCAATGGCAGAGGCGGCAATGGCAATGGGGTTGAAAATTATGCAAAAAACAGTATATGAAACCGCAGAGGGAATAAATTCGTTACCTGGCGCCATCATTTAGCATCACGAAGCTGGAAATGCCACCATCATAATTTAAAAGGGTTTGTAATTTTCTTGACCGATAAAACTTTAAAGCAAGAGAACAAAAGTGGTTGCAATTTCTTGTCACTGTATTTCACGTCAAATTGTTGAAAACTTTTGTGCAAATCAAGTTTGCTGTTCTGCCCATGATTTTGAAGAGATCGATGAAACGTTTTAAATGTCTTTATTGGTCTTGATCTTTTGTGGTTAACGGCTAATGAGAATGAGGTGATACGACACAACAAATTGGAAATTGGCTCTCTCCACCACCTCCCATTTATGCTTTTCTCAATTTCCAAAACTTTCTGGTCCAATATTTTGGCTCCACTCATGACAAACTTATATAAAACCTTTCAGCAGCCTACCTACCTACTCTTATCTTTTCTTATTCCCTAGCCTGGCTGTCCAAGAAAATTGTGTTTGGTGCAGCAGCAGGAGGGGAGTTTCTTTTTTATGTTCTGCCGAACTGTGGTTAAGAATCTTTGCAAGAAGCTATGTTTTTTTACTGTAGGGAGGGATAGTGAGGTGAACTAGCCATGAGGCTTTTAGTGCTGATGCTGTTAAGCTGTTTTGTCTGCAACAAATTAATTAGTGTAGGGCTGTTAAGCCAATTTTCACTTAAAGTGAACTAAGTAAAAGCTCTTTATTGAACACCATTTATTCCCAATATAGAAGTTGAGTTCTCAAATATATAATTTCTGAACCATGAGGGTTCAAGACAGGAAATTTTTTGACAGTTCAATGCAATTATAATCTGGGAGCAATCCGAGGACGATCCCATTCAGTCACAATGTGGTCGCGGGTGATCTCCTTCAGCGAACGACATCCACTTAACGCCATTGTTAGCTCAAACTCATCACGAAGCATTTGAAGTACTTTCCTTACACCAGCCTCACCATCAGCAGCTAATGAGAACACCACTGGTCTACCAATCTGAAATATAGGCATTGTTTCAAATTCATTGCTTTACTATATAAATCATAGACAGGCAACAAAATGTTTCCTATTTCTGATGTAAATTTTAAGTGACATATGTTTTACTCACAAATACACCAGATGCTCCAAGAGCCAGAGCCTTAAAAACATCAGTTCCTCTCCTCACTCCACCATCCAAAAACACAGGAATTCGGCCTTGTGCAGCTTTGACGACCTATAAGCCATCTCAACAAAGTCATAATCTCAGAATACACCAAAGATATAGTCCTAGAAGTGTTCCAAATAAGGGCAAAATAAAGAATAAATATAAGGGAACTACTTGGGATTTAGAATGGCAAAAGTTGAAGAGGATAATACTCCTCCGTAACATTTATAAGTCATTCAACAACTTCAGGACACTAATATAAGTGTTCAATGAATCGATAAAATCAGATTTATGAATGAAGAATGTACCTCTTCCAAAACCATAATAGTTGCAGGGACATAATCAAGCTGGCGAGCTCCATGATTGGAGACGACAATTCCTGCAGCTCCATATTGTACCGCTAGTCGTGCTGCATTGTTAGTAGATATATCGTGAGTTGGCCATAAATTTTCGATAACAGATAAAGCAGGGAAGTTAGTTTTGTATTGGAATGTTGACTCAGGGATATGGTTACTTACCATCCTCAGCAGTAATTACACCCTTTACAAGAATTGGTAATTTGGTGATTGTCTGAAGCCATTTTACGTCCTGTGCATGTGGCCAAGAGAATCATTTGAATTATTAATTCAGATTTCTTGTTTGAATTATCTTATATTGAAGCAACCATCTTTACCTTCCAGCTGAGAGACTGGTCGACTTGTCCAGCAACATATGATGCAAGTCCAGAATCATTGGTCTAGAATTTAATCACCAAAATGGTCAAGGAATGGATAATAAAAAATGAAGTTACCTATACAGTAAATTATTTGTCTGATATCTAAAGTCATATAAGTCACCCACCTTATCCATCTTTCCGAGAAACAAATCCTCAAAGTTTTTCAATGTCAAATGTGGCGGCAAAACAAATCTGTTACATACAATGAACTTTTAAAAGATACATAAAAGCCTAATGATTCTGCTGCGTTTTGAAACAACCTAACATCTTTGTAATAACTGTTTTTCTTTATTTCCAAATAATATTCTTGAATGAATGCTCACCTGTTCTTGATATCAGCCTCCCTGCGCCCAAGCCTTGGAGTGTCCACAGTAAGAACTATGGCCTTGAAACCAGCCCTCTCAGCTCTTCTGACAAGCTGTGTGACCACACTCCTGTCTTTGTACACCTTATCAAGAAGCACAACAATCATGGATAGAGTTAACAACACAAAACAAATGAGAACCTTGAAAGGAAATATATAATTTAGCCAAAGCAAAACAGGAAAGAACAAGAAAGAAAGTAACAGAAAATAGTGAGGGATGAATTTGAAACTCACATAGAGTTGGAAAAAGCGAATGCCAGGTCCTGTTGATGCAACCTCTTGGGCACTGGAAGTAGCCCAAGAAGACAGTGTCTATAACAACCAATATGCATATATGAGTTACTGACACAGCTATTATGAAAGCCACAGAACAATGCTATCCACTAATTGGCTTGCACCTCAAAGGCAACACTTAAACAAATTGTGATAGGAAAACATAATTCAATATAAGATGATATAACAATATGGTGCCAAGCCAAACCATAATTGTGTCAGCCGCGGCTGTTGCTCTTGCCGTTGCATACTCTCCTGATTGAGAATTACAAAATTACATTTAGCCATCTCTGCTTAATAGGAAAAACTTGACAAATAAAAACTTTAAAGAGCTTTGAATGTATTCCAATTGTTGTTTAAATATTTTTATCCAACTTACATAAAGAAGTATGTCACAGAAAAGTACAAATAAAAGGGGCTTATACCTTCAGGATGAGCCATCTTCTGCATGGCTGTAGGAGCAATCATGATGGGCATTGAAATATTGAAACCCAACACAGTTGTTCTCAAGTCTATCTTACTTACATCTATAAGAATACGAGGCCGAAACCTATTCCATCAGAAACAAAACAGCAAAAGTACAACTTGAGCAAAGAGATTCAATGGAAAAGTACAATGAAATGTAGCCCAAAATACCAAGAAAAAGAAAACTACTTTTTGAGATGATTATCAATTAGCAAGAGAACAGCTTACAAAATCCTGGAAAATGCATGTTGGTTCTCCTTGAGAGTCCACTGATCCTCTGCACCAGATGCGTAGTAGTCATAGACCATCTTTGGCAATTTCTGCTTTGCAATTGCCTCATACTCAGAAACATTGGTTATCTCCATCTCTGCAACTATATGCTTAAGCTATCCTCTCACTAATCTGAAACAAATTCAAATAAGTAATTGGAATTTGAAAATCGAGTGAATCTTATGTGATGTTAATTGAGACAGTGAAATAAGTGAGAATAAAATTCTGATCAAGACTTACATGGTTTGTGTGCCCAAAACGCAATCCTAAGTTCTAGGTGCATAGTAATAGAAGAAGCTATGAATCAGCAAAAGCAACCTGGTACTAAAAGAGAATTAGAAAACAGCCCTACTGCCTAATTGGGCCTAGAGATATACACACTTGGATGCATCTTCATTTGGGTGTTTCTGCAAAACTCATGCGGAAGGCAACAAACAAACCATGTAAAGGGGCTTTCAAGTCTCACACGAGTCCAACCACGAAAGCTGTTTCCAAGTTTCCAACTTTCTTTGATTTTGACTGCAGGGTATGTGAGCCCTACTCTCTTAATACATTATTTGGCCATCTTCAATTGATTTTTTACGATCAAACTCATGAGTTATGGGCTACTTATGTAAATTAAACGTGTAATTAGGCCCACTTAATAATATCAGAATTAAGCTTGAACAAATCTAATCATAAACCCAAAAAGCAAACACAAATTACAATATGGGATTGAAAATAACAAAGAGAAAATACTCAAACAAGAAAGAAATGGAAAAAATGCCAATTTGATTAGCAAAAAAGAAAGAAATGTATCCGATTTGATATAACAGGAAGAAAACAAGACTTCATTTTCACAGTACCGTACATGATTTTGATCAAACCCATGTCCAAATTCAATCATTTAATCTAAACACAGAATCAAATTGTGTAAGGACAAATTCAAGAAGATGAAAGCTGCATGAATTGTGAAGCAAAGAACACACCTTTTGGCTTTCCTCCACTTAGAGAGAATGAAGGAAAGAAACAGAGAGGAGCTGGAGATAACCTTGAATGCAGAGAAAAAAGAGAGAACGACAACTCCCGCAGTGATATTGATACAATTCTACAAACAAAGAAAGACAGTGATTGGAGAAAAGTATTAAAGAATGATGGGTGAAGACAAAAGAGGTAAGCGTCATCAGATAAGAAAAATAATAATGTGACTGGATTGGATTAGTTTTCGAAGGTGAGCAAATTGAAACCAATCTGTTTCTTGGAAATGTGAGACTTTTGCTGAGACCATTTGGTTGACCATCATTGCTGCATGCTCGTTCCATATGTACACAACGGAAAAACAATTTTGTGGGTAATATATTAGTCAAAATAATAATTAGAATTTAGACAGCACAAGCATAATTTTTTCCTTCTTTAAAATCAGAAATAGGTGACATGAACATGTGAATGTGAATGTGAATGATCCTGCTGTCCTGCTCTGAAAGTACATAGGTCACACGAACATGTGAATCTTCATCCTTGATGTGAATGCTCAAAAATAAAAAATAAAAATGTATATTAGATTTTTAAAATTCTTTTGGATGGAAACTGATGTGGAAATACATAATTCCTTAATGCATGACAAGGACTGTTACTGTGTTAATGGTATTATCCTTTAAGGTTAGTAAATTAGAAGTTCACATTCTTTAATTCAAAATCATTCTAAATACTTCCAATTTTACCTTTTTTGTGGGCCCATATGAGGTGCATGTACTGAATTATTTTGTTTCCTTTTCCTCTTGTTCTTATTTATTCATTCAATGCATGCAAGTTGCCTTTGCTATATATAAGACACAAGGCGTAAGGGAATCTATGCTTTTGGACAGTATTAAACATTTGGATGATGTGATTGATGAAGAATATAAGTAATACATCGAAAATTTGAAATAAGTTACAACTTATAATAAGTGGTTTTACTTTTAATAGTACCGAAGTTTTTTGTGATAAAATTTCATACGTACTAGGCTTTGTAAGTTGTTAAGTTAAAGACAATATCGGTGTTGCTAGTAGTGAGCTGTTGACCCGTCTCTCAGATGATCCGTCCCTCTGAAATTTTAAGAGTCATGCTTGAAAGAAAATCATAGGACAAAGTTTAAAAATAACAATAATTAATTTGAATATTGCCATGAACAAAATTCAAACAGCTCTTTCAGGTTTCAGCAACTTGTGTTTCTGATTGCAAATTGATGAAGCTCACTTCTTATGAACAATCTGTTGATGAATCAACTGATGTTTGTGATTTCTTTAATTTAAAAAAGAAAAATATTTGAAACTAGAATCTCTTTCTTTGTCTTTACTATGCAGGCCCTTCATTGCTAGATCCCACGCCTTTGGTTCCTTTGTAAAAAGGCTGTAAAAATATAGACAACACACTCATCGATAAGACCTGAGAGTTAAGACTGATCATCAGCTTTTGATACTAGATACCACCTCCAGAACTCCATTAAAAGCCAAAGCCTCTTAAAGACTGAAACTTTTTTTGGTTAACAAATAAAACACTGCAACACTGCAAGTCCAATTCAGCAACTGATTATGTTATGATCATCAAACCTACATTGCAAAACCTTGGTTCTTATTCAAGTTCTTCAAATTACCTTGTAAGTTGAAAACGTCTGGTGTCTCAGCTTTCCTTTAAACTTTCCCAAAGGATCAATATTTAAACCATTGCTAATGTAATGCTAATCATTAAACTCAAAAACTTGGTTGAATTCTGTTGATGCCAAATATCCAAATGGACTCATGAAATTCAAAAGAAAATAAGTTCCTCAACTTGCCTTCAATTGGAAAAAAAAAAAGGAGTGTCGTTTACAGCATGAGATACAAGAAACATACAACAAAACTACATGAATTCAGTTTTTCATATGACCATGAAGAACCTGAACTTTTCTGAAGAGGGTACTGACTACATGGCTTCATTGTGTCAGACTCATTTGGGTGTTCACCAGCCAAGGTTTTGCCATCTCTTGGTCCACTTGCATTCAAACAAAGAGGGGTTATCACATTAGAAGAACTGCTCTTCTTCTTGTAAAGTGGATTGCTTGTACATAGACCATCATTTCCTCTTACATCCAACCTCTTCCCAAGCCTTTCAATGAACTCCTCTGGAAGTGATAGATCTCCACTTAGCTGATTGTTGCTCAAATTTAGCTGATTTAAACTTGGAAGAGTCCCTAAATATGGAGGAACTGTCCCAGTAAGGCTATTGTTATCCAGAGAAAGAGCAGTGAGATTTTTCAAGGAAGATAGAGAGTTGGGCAATGGACCAGTCAAACCACATCCTGAAAAGCTCAGTGATTTGAGCTTCATGAGCTTCCCTACAAACTGAGGAATTTCTGTGTTGATTGGGTTGTTATCAGCTACCAAGTACTGTAATTGCTCCAAACCTGAAAGGGTTTCAGGGATTGGCCCATTTATCAAGTTATGGCTCAGATCAACCAACACCAACTTGTTGAGCTTCCCTATATCTGGAGGCATGCTTCCTGTAAACCTATTTGAACTTAAATCAATCTTCTGGATGAGCTGAAGCTGACCAACAGAGCCAGGCACCTGACCTTCTAGAACATTCCAACTTAAATCCAAAATGCTCAAAGTCCTCAACCCTCCAATTTCTACTGGTATTTGACCACTTAAATTGTTGTAACTTAGGTCAAGTTGCTCTAAGTTGACCATCCCACCAATGTTCCCAGGGATCTTGCCTAGTAGATTGTTCTGTGACAGGCTCAGGACCCTTAAGTTGGAAATTTTGGCTAAACTTGGGGGAAGTTCTCCTGAGAGGGCTGGATTGGACACAAGGGCTAGGTGTTCCAAGGAAGACAGTGCACCAAGAAGAGTTGGAGAAAGAGTGACTGGTGATGTCAAAAAACAATTGAAAATGGAAAGTGTTTTCAAGTAAGGTAGTTTGAGCAGGGACTCTGATAGGGTAGCAGAGGATTTGCAAGCAGGGGTTAGAATATCAGGGCCAATATGAATCTTTGTGACATGAAACATTGGAGGGTTTTCATCACCAATCTCACATTGAACACCAGGCCATGGAGTCTCGTCACATGGTTGTGGGTGTTCTTGGGCCCAGCTGGAGTCTCCTAGAAAGGCACCCAAAACTTCAAAAAGCCCCAAAAGCTCCTCCTTCCCCATCTCTATTTGAAACCCATCTGAGCTTTGCTGTCCTAACACTACCTCACCTGCCAAAACAAGGAACCCAACAAAGAAAAGAGGGAAAGAAGCCATGAGAGGAGAGCAAACCCCACAAGTGAACAAGAGAAAGCAAAGGAGAATGTGGCTTTAATTAGAACCAACCAAGAGACTGTTGCTTTACTCTTTTTCTTGATCAATGGCATTGATGACAGAAAGTAAAGTGTGGCATCAAATTATCTCAATTCAGAGTCATGATCTTAGTGGCTGTGCCTGCCAGTGCCAAGGCTGCTGTGAAATAAAAAAAAGTTGTCGCCTTTGCTTCCCACATTGTGCAGAGGAGGGGGTAGGGATTGACAGTGGGAGTTTTGCATGCAAAGAGTGTGATGTAGGAAGAGAAAACAGTTACTAGAAGTAGAAGAAGATGTCAGAAGGGTCATGATCGATTGGTATTTTCAAAGAAGGATTTGTAAAACATTGATGGGACTTAGCCATCTATCAATCTATCTCTATCTCATGTCTCAGTAAGAAGCCGATAGATCATGGCCTTTCATGCTTTGCAGATATACACAGGTGACACATGTGACTGATGTCTCTCTCTTCTTCTCTCCTTATACCATTGGCATTGGGAATTTGCATGCGTGGGAATCGATGTGTGTGTGTTGTACAAGTATTGTCATTCTTGGTAAGATTCTAATTAGACATATTTAGTGATTAATTATGTTATGTATAATGTATGTACGCTGAATAAGATACTTAAATTTGGATTAATTTTTTGGTGTGAGTGATCGACTTATAACTAATCCACTCATATTATAATACATGTATATGTTTGTTAGTATACTAGCAACTATGTCATTTATAACATGTGAATCAATAAAACCCGTGTGGGTGGATTATAATTTATACATTAGAAAATTATAGAGATATAATTTTTTCTAGTTAGACTTCTATCAATGAAATGAATGAAGAACCATCCCTTCCTATGAAATAATACAACAAAATTGAAATGTCTCCTAATTTCACGTAGCTCTTTGAATGAGCTTGAGAACCCAAATGAAACAAACCAAACGCTAAATTCGAAATTCTAGTTTCATGCAAGCCACAGTCTAATTATTTAACCTCCCGCTTTATAATTGCAGCAGAAGCGATCAGTGTCCAGTGATGGGTCATTTTGATGCCACAATAAAACTTGACGACCTACCCTCAATAGGCTGATCAATCACCCATGTTAGGCAAGCCAAACCCTAGATATGTGTGCACCTACATATTTATACAAATTTGCGTTTTCCATGAACTTTTGGGTTCTTCTCTAGAAAGGGGGAAAGCAGTCAAAAGCCCTGCCAGGTGCTGATGCGTTGAAAATGCCAGAATTGTTGCTTCAATTCATCACAAGAAGCGGATGCATGCATGCAGGGTGCGGGTTGGGATAATTCTTCCCAATTTTCTTTTGTGTTGGTCCTCCACATGATTTTATTAAAGGTGTACATGTTGACGTCCACATGGCTTCTATGAAGCTGGAAGGCGGGGGTGATCCAACTCCCACAACTGCATTGGATGCCTGACCAATTGACCAATTGAAGTAACCCAAGTGAGCTTCACAATGTGCACATGACAACTTGCACTCCACTGCTCTCCGTCTTCAACTGCTGTCATCCAGCTTAGAGGCTCAACAAAAATGGATGAACATTCAGAATCCTCACACAAGTTGCTACCTTTTCATTTTCGCCACTCAAACAATTTCTTACTCTCGCCTATGATGGGGATCGGGATCCAGACATAGGTCATTAATAACACACACGAGTACTGAAATCTAGGGTTAGTACAAACTTACATATATCGTAGCAAATCAATGCCACAAATAAACTATTTCATTAATTATCAACCAAAACTCCCTTACAACTATTACATGCTTTATTTATAGGTTTTACAAGACTTGAGTACCAAGGTTACATGGTCCAAAAGTAAATTAATTATGGATTAACTACACTTTAGTCCCTGGAGGTTTAGTGTCAGTATCGAAATGGGCCCCAATGTTTCATTTTAATCAATTTCGTACCCAACATTTCGAAATATTACCAATTTACACCATCTGTTACGTTGACCGTTAAAGTCAGACGTTAACTGCTGACGTGATAGTTGTGGGACCCACCTCATAACCAAATAGTAGTTAGAAAGAGACGAAATGAAGGGTCATTTCGGAAAAAAATAATAATAAAAAACTTATTAAAAATATTATTAAATTAGATTTTTTTAAAACAAAAAAAAAAACCCTACTTTCTCTCTCCCGCTCTCTCTCTCTCTCTCTCTCTCTCTCCTTCTATCTCCCTCCCTCCCTCCGCCCAGAACTTGAAAATCCAACAGACCCAAAAGCTCGAAATCCTCCAAAGCCAATCGGCCTATGGACCCCACCACTGAGCCATTTCCTCCCCCGCCGCCTCACCTCGAGAATCACAACCTTCCACTGCCTCCGCCGCCTCTACCCACTTTCATCACCCTCGCACACTTCACATAACTGTCGAGAAATTATAAATGGAGGGTTTTGGAGAGGAACGGAAGCAAGCAGTACTACTACTAACGTGATCTTTATCAGAGCCAAAATTCAAAAATCCCAAATTTTGCAAGTCTCCCTGTTATACTCCACTAAACCCTAACTTTCCCTCAAACCATACCTCCTCTTCAGTCCTCCTATCCCAAAACCTAATTTGGGGTCCTCAATCAGTGAGCACATTTGCAATGACGAAGGTGTACGGAACAGGGGCATACGATTTCAAGCGTCACCATGTCGCCGAGTACTCGATCGAGCAACCCCACCAGCCCAGCAACAAGCCGGTTAAGGCCAAACCTAGTTCGGCGCCCCCGAGCTCTATAACCTTGTCGGAGATTCAGCGGGACCGCCTTACGATGATTGCCGCTGCTAATTGGTCCAAAACCGGCAACACCTCACCCGATGCACTGACCTATCTCAGAAAAATCGAACGAAAACCGGCCAATTTTCTGCAGTTTTTGGCGAGCTCCGTGGTTAGCGACAGGTGAAACTGGTCGGGACAGGACGAGGGTAGGTCGGCGGTTCAAATGGGTTCGATCTCGTGGCCGATGGTTCACGGTGGCGACGGCGGTGAGTCTCTAAGCCTTGCTGCTGTTTTAGAAAAATGGGGGACGGGGTTTCTGGTCGTGGGGGAGAGAGAGAGAGAGAGAGAGAGAGAGAGAGAGAGAGGGGGAATATATATATTTTTTTTTCTGTTTTTAAAAATCTAATTTAATTAAAGAGTTTTTTATTATTATTTCGGCAACACCTCACCCGATGCACTGACCTATCTCAGAAAAATCGAACGAAAACCGGCCAATTTTCTGCAGTTTTTGGCGAGCTCCGTGGTTAGCGACAGGTGAAACTGGTCGGGACAGGACGAGGGTAGGTCGGCGGTTCAAATGGGTTCGATCTCGTGGCCGATGGTTCACGGTGGCGACGGCGGTGAGTCTCTAAGCCTTGCTGCTGTTTTAGAAAAATGGGGGACGGGGTTTCTTGTCGTGGGGGAGAGAGAGAGAGAGAGTGGGAATATATATATTTTTTTTTCTGTTTTTAAAAATCTAATTTAATTAAAGAGTTTTTTATTATTATTTTTCCGAAATTGCCCTTCGTTTTGTCTCTTTCTAACTACTGTTTGGTTATGAGGTGGGTCCCACGACTGCCATGTCAGCAGTTAACGTCTGACTTTAACGGTCAACGTAACGGATGGTGTAAATTGGTAATATTTCGAAATGTTAGGTACGAAATTGATTAAAATGAAACCTTGGGGCCCATTTCGATACTGACACTAAACCTCCAGGGACTAAAGTGTAATTAATCCATTAATTATCTATAAAATCACACATAAATAATAAAATATATTCTTAAACTACCCAAATAAGAAATAACAATATCTCGTAAAATAACTAATTAATCTTGATCCCATCATTAGCTTGGAATGTGATCCACAACATTGTCCTGCAATGCAAACAATTCTTCAGCATTTCTTGCAGCGGAATGCTGGTGTACCAGTTTTTCCTCCATTTTGGGCTGTTTTCACTCCAGAGGCAACTTCGCTAGGCAACCCAGGATCTGCCCAAATTTGGAACTATCTATTTTATCCCCACAATGATAAGATTCACATAATACTTTCAGGCGAAAAGACTTATATATGGAGCTGGCACGATCAACCTTGAAGCCCATTTCCTCGTACATTTTGAGCTGATCTAGAAAACCATCATTGGGGCAAACAAACTCACAGCTTTGCCTCAGGGATCCTAGTGCATCTTCTTGTGATAAATGTTCTGTTCTCATCAGATATGCTGTAATGATAGATGCACTTCTGGAAACACCAGCATAGCAATGCACCAAAACGGAACCCTTTTTTCTACTCTCATCAATAAAATCCACACACACGTCCAAATAATCCAATAAATTCTCATCGTCCATATCTCTTAGCGGAACCCCCATCCTCACCAGCTTCAAATCCTTGCCTGCACGTTCTAACGAGTAAGAAAGCTTATCGGAAAGCAAACAACTTTTCGACCCATCACAAACAGATGCTGATCCACCAAGAGACCCGCCATCATAGACTTTCTTGCTTTCCTTTGTGGGAATTGCACAGAGAATATGTGTGATCTCTTTGCTGCCATTTCGAATAACCTTTGCTGCATCACCGATGTTGCCGAGGAATAGATTCTCACGAACAAGATACGGCATGACCACTGAAAAATATTTGATGTTACCCTAAACCCGAGATTATCAAAGCAAGAAAAGTGGAACAATATGCGGCAAAATTTAAGATTCTATTCTTTCCTACAATGAGGTATATATAGGAGCTTACAAGTGTAATTTACAAGGAAATAGATACCAAAACTAATTAGGAGAATATCTCCTAATTATACAAGGATGTGTCAAATATATAAAATAATGAAGTAAATCACCTAATTAACTTAGAAAATAAATCTCCTTGATTTAGTAGGTTAACTCACATTAACAGTACATACCCTTAAAGCTTGAAACCCAAATAGTGAACAAATCCGACACTTCAAATCAGTGGCGGACCTATTAAAGCGCAAGGAGGTGCAGTGCACCTCCTCTCACCGGGAAAATTATTGTGGGTGCTTCAAATTGCCCATTTGCTCAACTGGTAATGGTGCACAGATTACCTTATTTTCATTTTTAACATATTAATAAATTGAGTAATATAAAAATAAATAAAAGTAAAAGGACAAAGACATTTACTTAAGTTTATAATGTAAATAAGGAAGTACCCCCAATTTGGATTCAAATAAAAATACTAGAAAATCAAATTCACACCAAATCAAAATATGAAAAATCGATTTTAGTGCAAAATACGATTTAGGCTAAAAATGATGGCTCATTAAGTCAATATATACTTCATAATAAAATCTCATAAAATCAAGTTTTCTTATTTGATGTGTAAGTAATAAAAGTCGCCAAAAATTATCTTGAGAAAATGATTATTTCGAAAAATCATTTTTCATACTTAGTCAATATTTTTAGGGCTAATGACAAAAGACACCATGATGGTTTGGGGTCATTCTCAATCTGGATCCTAGGGTTTCAATTTCATCAATTTACACCCCAATATTTTCAAATATGACCAATTTAAGCCATCCGTTAAGTTGACCGTTTGGTCAAATGTTAACTGATGACGTGTCAATTGTGGGACCCACCTACTGACCAATCCCAAATATATATATATATATAATTAGAAAGAAAAAAAAAACTTAAAAAAACCCAGCGTCTTCCCTGCCTAGCCCCCCCTGTTCCCCATCCAATCTCGCCGAAGCCTACTTCCTAACCTCCGTCTCCCACCCCCTCTCCCTCCAGCTCCTCTTCGTCCCTCAGACCTCCGCGCACCATTTCACTACCCCAGAAATGCCAGAACCCCAATCTCTCCGTCAACAAGCTCTGCACCCAAAGCGATGTCGATTCAATCCTCGCTCACCTACATTGCCACGTCATCGAGATATTGATCAAGAGCGGCTTCCTTCCCGACGTTGACGCCGAGGTTTGCTCAGTAATTAGCAAATTAGTGGCCACTCATGGTAATTATTATTCTTCCAATTTTTTGTGGGTTTATATCTATATATATAAAGAAAAAGGCAGAGAATTGTGAAACATTCAAAATACCAAAAAATGCCCTTGATTAATGCAAACATTAAGAATTAATTAAATAAGGATAATATGGTGAATTCACACTTTTTCATATTTAAAAAATTAAAATTAAAAGAAAAATCAGATAATGATTCCTATTTTTATGGAACACAACTACCCATTATTTTTTGTAATTCTAAAATAAATTTAAATTTTTTTAAAAAAAGACTCTCGTAGGCGCAAAAGCACATGCAGAGACTCGAAAGCACATGCAGAGAGGCTAGTTATATTAGAATATTGAAAGGGTTGGGAGATTCTCCAGATTGTATCGCAGGGGTTGGGCCACCATGTCTGGTTCTGTATTTTTGTTTGTTCTCTGTGATTTTGTTGGGATGAGATTATTGCTAGGGTTGTATGGAATCGAGTTGTGGTTTGGTGCGACTTGGTGGGTGTAGGTGCTGGTTTAATCGTACAAATAGAGCTTCATGAGTATCTACTCTGTTTGACTCAGGTTGTGTTTTCAATGATCCATAGGAATTCAGAGATTTCATCTTGCTATGTTTCTCAATGGTGGAGGTGGCTGAGTTGATGGGATGGGGAACCGAGGGGGAGGAGGAGCGGGGGGGGGCGCTGGGTTGTTGGGCATAGAAGGGGTTGAGATTTTTTAAGTTTTTTTTTCTTTTTCTAATTTTATATTATTTTGTCATTATATATATATATATGTTTTGGGATTGGTTAGTAGGTGGGTCCCACAATTGACACGTTATTAGTTAACGTTTGACCAAACGGTTAATTTAACGGAAGGCTTAAATTGGTCATATTTGAAAATATTTGAATGTAAATTGATGAAATTGAAACCCTAGAGTCCATATTGAGAATGACCCAAAACCATCAGGGTGTCTTTTGTCGTTAGCCCATATTTTTACATAAAACAGTTTTTCATGCATGATATAAATGAATGAAGGGACCTAAGGTCAATCTAGATAAAAAGTCTTAAATGTTCAATCTAGGTAAAAAGTCTTAGATGTTTAATCCACAAAAAAAAATTTAGTTTTTTAAAATTGCACCTCCGCTAAAAAAATTCATGAGTCCGCCAGTGCTTCAAATCTCAAAATCAAAGCAAATTAATAAATAGATTGTTGACTAAACCAACGTTTCACTGTTAGAGAAGCAATGAAAACGTGGAATTGAATTTGAAAGCATTATAGCATATAAACGTCAGCCAATCGACATATGACATATAAAACTCCATCAGAGTCAATTTCTTGAAAATTCAATTCACCCTTCATACAATTGTCTTTTTTATTATTATACAAGCTATATTCTACTTTTTTTAATAGATAATAAGCGCAACAAATTTTTATTTTTATTTTTTATATAAGCGATAATTTACTTTAATCTAATCTAAACTATTGACAAGGGGATTCGAATTTGGGTGCAGAGTGAGGAGCACATCCACTCTAGTCAACTTGGCTAAGCCCACGTCATCTACTATATTTGTCTTGTTTATAGACTGAAATTCGATAATCATTCATTGTACAAAATTAATTAGTTCGTTGATTGTGGAGGAAAATATGGATTCTTATGTAACCTTAAGCTAATTAAGTCCATTCATCTCTCCACATTAATGATTTTCTTTGCCTTAAAACAACAAGAAGAACCACCAAAGTAAACCCTACGTATGCATGCATGGTATCGTTGATCATATTTCAATCAATTTAATATTGGTCGTAATTTAAGTAGAATTTAAGATGAAAATGTATGAAAATTAAGTTTCCTGAGCTTCTCGATCTCGAATCGTACTTGTTTGATCACAGAGAGCATCAAAAGATACGCATATGCATCGCAAATCATGACCTTTTTTGTTCCGTGATCAAAGCAGTATATATATTTAAACCTCAGATGCTTCATCCTTCAGTCATATTCCGTCTCAATATCTTTCTTTTTTTCAAGTCTATGTTGCGAGTTTACAGCTCGAATGCTTGACTAGTCTTCTCTTCTGTTGTTTGAGTGTTCCTCCCGTTACTACAAAATCTGGCTAATTGCATACATAAAATATGATTACTTGGTTAATAATATCATCCACGATTCAAGTACGAAAGAGAGAGATGTTGAAGTAACCAATCAGCAAGTGACACACCAGGGTCCCCATGAGTGATTGTTCCCCAGATTTTAATTAAAATACAAAGCAAGTCACAAGGACAACCACAATTAAATTTTTACACTATATTGTACTTATGTACGAGTCATCTAAATGTCTCGCAACAATTTCAGTATGGTAATCAATTATCATGATTAATTGTCAAGTAAGTAATTTATTAAGAAGCTGAGGTGTTAGGGCGGCCCCACACCCAACCTAGCATGGCTAGGATAAGAAAGGGTTTGCAGACGAGACGACTTTTCGAAAAGATGAGTAACCTTAACTTCATTTTCTTGATTTCGATATCCAACTACCATGAATCATGAATGTTCAGACTTGCAGACTTTTGGTCGCTTCTCTATAATTTTGATGTTCCTACTGTCTTATTATGTGGCCTGTAATCTCAAATGACTGGGTACCATCCATGCGTGCATGTTGTCACAATCTTATGCGTACAAGATGATATCCGCCGTCAAATTAACGTCTTAATCCTGAAATATTAATTAGGTGAGCAGTTTGAAAGAGGATTTTTGCCCACCATTTTAATCGAACGTGTAGTCTTAAGCGACTTAATAACAGCAAAACAAGACTATCAAACGAAGAAGTGCCATGTGTCATCCTAACAGCAAAACAAGACTATCAAACGAAGAAGTGCCATGTGTCATCCTAACAGCAAAACAAGACTATCAAACGAAGAAGTGCCATGTGTCGTCCAACGTGTACTCTTAAGCAGCTTAATAACAGCAAAACAAGACTATCAAACGAAGAAGTGCCATGTGTCATTGTGCTGTCTTCCTATGCAGACATGGCTTTGGCTATTTGCCTGGTTGACTTTCTTTATGCAATTGGATTTTGAGCTGTCGCAAAAGCACCGAGAATTACGATTACTTCTTTTCAGTGCTTCCAATCTTCTCAGTTAAGGATATTTATCCAAATGGTTGTTTCTGGGTCTTTCTTGAAGCCGAAGTGATGGGGGGCATACATGGTAAATCACATAATTAAATAAAGGTGACACCGTGACACCTCTAATAATTGAAGTGATTGCTCAATTATTAATTCAGCAGTATATCCAAATCTCACAAGTATTTAAAACCCCTTCATTTGGAACTTCTTCTACCAACCAAATTTAAAACCCACATTTCTCTGCTTCTTTACGCCCCACAAGCAATATCTCAAGTCCTCCTTCTTCCACTTGCATCTCTTCTCTTCCACATAATAACATGGCCAAACCACCATCAACAAATCTTGTGCAAGATTCAATGAAACCCTACAAACCCAAAGAATATTACCCTGAAAAAGCCAAGGGCGTATCCTTCTTGGCCTTTTTCGTCTCCATATGCTTTTACATTTCCATCTTCTACATCTTCAACCTCTCTCTCTCCACTCTCTTCCACAACACCAAGTTCTGGTTTGCCATATCCAACACTCTCATCCTCATCATTGCAGCTGACTATGGCGCCTTCTCTTCCTCCAACGATAATATACAAGACCAGAATCTTTACCAAGAGTACATGATCCACCGTCAAGCTCGAAGTGTTTCCTCATTTGTTTCTCGATACCCTGAAATAGCTTTCAAGAAAAGCAGCTGTCCCAATAAGCAATCAGAGGTGGACGTGGACGACATGAAAGCAAAGAATGAAGAAGTGGCAGACACTCAAAATAAAGAAGTTGTCCAAGAAAAGAGTGTCGTCCACGTGTCGAAAGGCGATGTCCAGAACAAAGATTGCGCCAGAGAAAATGTTGCAGCAAAAACTTACCAGCGAAGTAAGTCTGAGAAAACAAAGACAAAGGGAGCTGTGATCGATGAGAGGAAGAAGGATATTTTGAAGAGGTCAGAGGATGAGAAGAAGTACGAGCCAAATACTGTTGAAGACAATGAATTTTCGGTCATGTCAGATGAAGAACTGAACAGGAGAGTTGAAGAATTTATTCAGAGGTTTAACAAGCAGATTAGGCTTCAATCAGCAGCTACAGACTCCCACCAAGTCTAGAAGTTAATGTTCCATGCATATATGGAATACGAAAGAGAGTTCATCTTCCAAAAATTTTGTGTTTTTGTTTCAGCTCTCAAATAATTTTGTAAATACTCTGGACTTCATGTTTAGTATGAATAATTTTTGTATGCATGAATGTGTATTTTATTCTGAAATCTCCTTTTTTCTTCTAAATATGTTGTCTTCTTGATGCATTTTAATTAATTAGGTAAATACTGTTTTGTTATCCCTAGTATATATTGCATTGATACGTGAACAAGTTATCCTGCATATTATTGCACTATTAATTGAGAATAACATAAATTAATATCGCCGTTGCATGAAAGTCTCAATAAGCTGCCAGAATATGAGTTCTAGGCTAAAATTGAATGGAACAGAAACTCACCATCAAACCCCATATCAGTGATGTGATTTTAGTGGGGTCTCTTCCTTTTGCAATCTTCCACAATTCTTTCATAATCCATAGAGAACGACCTTTTCTCTGATGTAATTTTCATTTAGCTTTTTTGATTACCGTAATATAAGTAAACATATATATATAAGATAATTGAAGACAAGCCACAAACATGGGTGATAATTGTAAATATAAAATTTTGAACTTTGGTCGACAAATCAATCAAAATCTATAAAGACCTATAGCTACCTTTTTTTTTTGGACGAAGGCCTAAAGCTACGTTAAACCACAAACAAGCACAAACCAAAAAGAAGCTTCAAATAAGTATCCTTTTAAAAAAAATACATTTTATAGATTCACCACCATGGAAGGAATTGACACGTAGCCTAATGCCCAAATCTTCTAAGGTCCTGTTTGGATTTTTTTTTTTTTTGCCAAAAACTTGCTTAACTTTAAAGTTAAGCAGTTTAAAGTGTTCGGTAAAAATAAAATATCCCGATTATTTTAAAAGCAGTGGCCACAACAGCTTTTAAAAACAGGCTCTGGGTTGCTTTTCAAAGCTGCTTTCAAAAGAAACAGAGATGAACCTTTAATGAATTTTTTTAATTCCCTAAATACCATCATTCATTTTAAAAAATGACACCACCTCCACTTCCACATCCAACTCCACCACTTGCACCACCACCACCACTACAACCACTACCACATCCTTCTCCTCCTCATCCTCCGCCACACCTCCACCACCACCACCTCCTCCACCACCTCACCACCTCCACCACCACCTTCTCCACCTCCACCTCCACCTCCACCACCACAACCACCTCCTCCTCCAAAACCTCAACATCCACCACCACCTTCACAACCACCACCATGCTGCCACTACCACCACCACCACCACCAGTGGCGGAGCCACATAAGGACCAGGGTGGGCCCAAGGCATTTCTCATTTTTTTTATTTTCTCATATTTTTACTTATATGTTTGCTCCTTGGAGTAAAGACTTTTTTTTTTCTCCTTATCTTCCTCTTTTGATTAATTTAAGCTTTGTGAATTCCCCTTCCCCTATTTTACATGTCTAAGTAGGGTATCTTAATATTGGGATTTATGAACCTTTTTTGTATTTCTTCTTTCTGTTGAAGTATAAATTATTAAATTTCGAGTCTTTAATAGTGTAGATGATGAGATTAATATTCAACCATGTTAAAATATGAAATTCAGGACAATTATGATTGTAATAAATGGATAAATTATTAATCAGTATGAAATAATATTATTAACTTATTAACCTGTTTAGCGCTTGAGGACTCCTATTCGAATTATTTTTAAATTTTTTGTAAAAGGCCTCCTCTAATGTGAAATCTTGGCTCCGACCACCACCACAACAACCAACTCCACCTTCATCAGCACTACCACCTCCACTCCATCATTCCCACTACCACCACATGATTAGTACATAACACTTTTAACATCATGTTTATTTTAGTCATTATTCATAGTTACGACAATTTTATATTAAAATTTACCAAACCGTTTTGACACTGCTTTTTGTACTAACAACACTTTAAAAGTATTGTTTACCAAACATGGAGCTACTTTACTTTACAACTGATTATTTTCAAAGCACAACATAAGCAACTTTTTTTAAAAGTGACAACAATCCCAAACTGGGTCTAAGTAGTTTCAAGAATTTGATCAACACACCCATCATACATCGAAAACCCATTTGACCCAAATTGAGTCTCTTTAAATGGATCTAACCCGGCCCATTGAACCAAAACATTTTTCTTGAATTAATATTTTTTTCTTTTCAAAAAGGAAAATAAGCTTAAATATGAAAATTGTCTGCAAACGTTTCGTTGTGAAGCACATAGACAGCCGTACTTATCCCAAAATAAAAAATCAGTTAAAATACCCGGGAAAGAAAGGGAGAGAGAGAGAGAGAGAGAGAGAGAGAGATGGTTAAGTTGGGTTCTCTTAGCCAAATCAAGCCTTCTCCAATACCTACCAACTCTTCTTCTTCTTCCTCAAACCCTTCACAGAAGGGTATTCTTCTCAAGAGGAGACGAGCCATAGTGCTCGGTCCAAGTGTTGTGGTGGCTTCTTTGCTCCATTTCTATAACCCCATTTCCCCACAACCTTCGTCTCACCTTGCACTTGCTCAGCAGCAACAAGAAGATGAGCTTCAGCAACAAGAGGACCGCTCTGTGCATCTCTTCCAGGTCTCTCTCTCTCTCTCTCTCTCTCTCTCTCTCTCTCTCTAAATTGACACATTTTTCATGGTTTTCTCTAAATTGAGAGCTCCTTTTTGAGGAGAATTGTTGATATTACGCAGAGATTGCAATTGGGTCACAGAGAGGCCTGCATTATTTGTTACTCATATGATCTTGATCTCTTTACCTTTTCCTAATCTGATACTTTTTGCATCAATCTGCTGCTCAAAATTCATTTTCTTTAATGTGTGGGTAATGTGTTTGTTCGTAGGAAACTTCTCCATCAGTTGTTTTTATTAAAGACCTTGAAATAGACAAAAGCCTCAAGGCCTCTCCTGATGCCGTCTTCCTAAGTGAGGATGGAAATTCCAAAGTTGAAGGAACAGGTTCAGGCTTCATTTGGGATAAGTTCGGTCACATTGTAAGCATACCTATCTTCTGCTTCTCCACCTGAACTCAACTTTAGATTCTGGTGCAAGCGAGTTATAGTAATTTGCATCTACTCCCAGATAATTAGGTATAGTATTTTAGTTTACGAATCTCTACATCCATGGTACTGAAATTAGTCAATCCTTTGTCTCTCCAGGTCACAAATTACCACGTTGTGGCTAAATTGGCCACAGACCAAACCGGATTACAGCGTTGTAAGGTTTTGTCCTTTTTATTCGATTTAAAAGCCTTGTAATAGTTTTTTTTTTTTTTAACTTTTGTTTTGACTGATGTTGAATGTTTTAGTTTGGAGCTCAAGTCATTCGTCTGAATTTTCAAAGTTTCTTTCGTGTCCTTCTTTATAGGTTTATCTTGTAGATGCAAGAGGCAATGGTTTTTACAGTGAAGGCAAGATTGTTGGTGTGGATCCAGCCTATGATCTGGCTGTTCTTAAGGTATTTATTCTCTTGGTCGTTGCTCTTCTTAGTTCCTTATTGTTGTATGCTGATAACTTTCAGCCACTGTATCATAATCTACCAAAGACTTTTCGTATATGACTGGAACCACGTAATATGCATATGATACTGAGAAATCATTGTGTTGATGTCAATCTCATTTCTTAAAATCATGTAAACTAATGCACCATGTCCATATTCATTCATTATTTGCATAAAGAAGAGCAATTTGAAATAAGGAACTTCCCAGGCAACATTTCAGTTTTCTCTCCTACTGCATTCATTAAACTATCAAGTACATGTGAGTGTCTTTATTTTGGCTATGAAGTGTTGGAGATTCTTAGCCTAATACCATGTGCAGGTTGATGTTGAAGGACATGAGTTAAAACCTGTTGTTCTTGGCACATCTAATGGTTTACATGTGGGTCAGAGCTGCTTTGCCATTGGGAATCCTTATGGATACGAGAACACTCTAACAATAGGGGTAACTTTTCTAATATCACTATCTACACTTCATTTTTAGAGTGTTTTAATGTTTTGATCAATTTCGAATGATATTTCCTTATGTCGACAACAAGAGGGAGCAAAATGTCAAACTATTAGATGGTTTAAATTTAACTAGTTTCCTTTCCTAATACTCAAAAAAAAAAAATCTTAGTTTCTTTGTCGAATGTGTTATGATCTGATGGGTACTTTGGATATTGCAGGTGGTCAGTGGATTAGGCAGGGAGATACCCTCACCAGATGGAAAGGCCATTAGAGGAGCTATTCAAACAGACGCTGCCATTAACGCTGGTTACATTTTCAATTTGCATAATCTTCTAGCCTTTGCATAAACTTTCACTCATTTTCTTATAATGTCAAAGTTTTCAGCCTTATATATGTTAGAATTTCTGCAGGGAATTCAGGTGGGCCGTTGATTGATTCATATGGTCATATTATTGGAGTCAACACAGCAACTTTCACTCGCAAAGGTAAAGCATGCTCTTTCATTTGTATTTTCAAATGTTCCTCGAATGAGCTCTAAACTAGTCGGCAGCACCACACCAGGAAGAGATTTTGAATCCCAAGTTCTATTACCCTATTCAGAAGGCTGGAACTCGGAACCTAACAAAATTTTTAACCAGCAAAACATATCCGAACTATAAAACGTAGTCAAAGCTTCAAACCTTTTCATGAAAACACTGGAAGCTAACTTACTTACTTCTTTTAAATGCTTATATTTTCTCTCTATATTTTGCAGGAACAGGAGCATCATCTGGTGTTAACTTTGCAATACCAATCGACACTGTTGTGCGAACTGTACCGTACCTTATTGTATATGGAACACCGTACCGTGACAGGTTTTGATCGATTTACCATTGTACCTAAAACATATTCCTCATATACGATATGTCTCTTGGAAAAACAAGCTGTATAAATTTCACAGAACACGATCCAATTTCTAAATGAATATTGATTTTGATGGATTGTGAAGAACATACATGATAACCTCACACAAGATCTGGTCAACTTTTCCAATGCACCATGGTGCTACCAAAATTTCCTTTGTCATGCTTCAACAGAAAACTTTGTCATTTCCATATGAACTTCACCACATCATGCAGAAAACCTTTTAACCATAGTTGTACCAGAACAACAAAAGAAGTCTCTAAATCTATAATATCATCCCCCTACTTGTAAAGTTTTGTTCATGATTGTTCAAAAGCATCATACTGTGTTAAACACAGAATTTAACTATGATGACAAGCAAGAATCATAACACTTAACTATTAGCAGATATCTCGAAGAATGCATGCCAATTTGGTCAAGAATTATAAAAGCACTATGTGGCAAACTAGTGATCCAGTAACTCCACCTGAATTCTTCGATGGACGAACATCTACGAAAGAAAAATCGAATTCATGGGTAGCCACACAACGCTCACAAACAATCTGACATGAATGAAGCTTGTATGAAAGCTAAACACAACATAGGATTGCAAAACGTTTTAATATTATTGATAAAATCAAACATACATGAGTAACAAACACTTGTTCTAGATATCCCAATAGCAACAGGACCCTAATATGTCTAGTTTTCTTCCTAGAATGAAAGCAGAGACAATTGTTCTTCAACAGAGCAACCAACATGACAAGAGACACGGCAAGAAGAAGGGATAAGAATGAGACCGAGGAACCGCTGCTCCATCGGAGAAGGCGAAGACCGCCGCGTGCTACGATACTCGACTGCATCTTGAAGAATGATGTTTCCTTGTTTGTCAATGCAGTGAAAATTTCCCAAGAAAAACCGCCCATCTCTTATCCCCACCAGCACCCGCCGAAACAGCAATTTCCTTGCCCGGTTCACAGCCTCCGACTCGTCTGGCCCCTTCGGGTTCGAACCATCGGAGCTCGCCGCCTGAACCAGTGTCTCCGCCGCTTCTTGTTCCATGTTCGTAGTGCGTTTGCGTTTGAGTTCGCAGATGCTCGATGAAATTCGTAATAAGCCCAGATCGATGATCTTTTTAGTTTTGTGCCCAAATAGTATAAAACTCGAAATAAAAATAAAAGGTTGAACTGAAAAATACTAAAGTACCCATATGTTGGCAATCCCTGTGAGTGTTAATCTTTGGATTGGAAAATACTGACTTTCTAGAAACTCATGTATTTGTCAATGAGAGTACCACGTGTGTAGAAGTTTTTCTGTTTATATTTTTTGGATTATTTTTGCACATCCGTCAAACTTCGATTTGTAATTACGTGATTTGTGTGTGGAAATATTTTTTTGCACATTTATAAAACTGTGATTTATAATAAGAAGGAGCATCTCCTTCCATGGAATTATTTTATAAAAACGAATCTCTAAGTAAAGAAATTTTTTGGCTCAAAATAGAAAAATTATTAGAAGGGAATAATTTTTTTTAATAATTATCAAAAAGGGAATTTTAAAGGAGCAACTTGATGGCAAGGCCGTCCAAAGATGACGCACTCAGTATCAGAACCATCTAACCCTTCCTTTCCTACTCCTACGTCAAATATTTAATTAGAGGAAATAACAAGCAAAAACAAAGAAACAAAAAAACCTAAGGAATCTAAAACTCGACTACTTCAAGAATCCGAAAGGCTTCAGAGGCCTCTACCTCTGTCTTGGGCAAACTTATCTGATTATAAGGTACGTTTTTCGACTAGGGTTTGGGTTTACCATTGGATTAGCCGCTTCATCATCTACTTCTGATTTCCTTGGAAGGTTTTTCCTTTTTCTCTGTAAAAATACCCCTACTTTAAAAATGGAAGACGACCCAATTTTATTTTTTCCTTATGGTGCACAGAAGGCCAAGGGGGATTGGGAGATTCACACTCTGACATTGGTTGTGATAAATTCACATAAACCACTGCAGCTAGAAAACCCCCCACGAATGAATGAAAATCAATATTGTTCTTACTTGCCTTGCCACTATTGTTGTATGGTAATTAGTGGTCTTCAATTAATTATAGGAGAGTGCTTAAGTTTGTTTTGTGTTGTGGTTTCAGGAGGAAAATCCTTTGAGAGGAATAATGGGTGAAACGGGTAAGCGTTATCGTTCTCAGAGAGACCATGATGGGGGCAACAAGAACCAAAAGAGGCGTTTTAACGACAGAGAGGAAAAGGGTAGTGATGAAATGGTTGTTTATAGGATTCTATGCCCTGATGGGGTTATTGGAAGTGTTATTGGTAAGAGTGGGAAAGTGATAAATACAATAAGGCAAGATACTAGAGCGAAAATCAAGGTTGTGGATCCGTTTCCAGGTGCTAAAGATAGGGTTATAAATATATACAGCTATGTTAAGGATAAGGAAGAAGTCGAAGTTGATGATGAGTTCAGTGATAGGGAACCTCTGTGTGCTGCCCAGGATGCTCTTCTTAGAGTTCATACTGCCATTTCAAATGCATTGGCTTCTGTTGGAGACTCTGACAAGAAACGGAGAGATAGTAGGGAAGACTGTCAAATTCTTGTTCCTTCTAGCCAGTCTGCAAATATAATAGGTAAGGCTGGCTCGACTATAAAGAAACTGAGAAGCAAGACGAGGACCAACATTAAGATTGTTGCAAAAGATGCCACTGACCCAACACATTCATGCGCTATGGACTTTGACAATTTTCTTATGGTTAGTATTTGTTATTAAAAAATAATAATTCCTGCATGTTTCAGTTTTGCTTTTGATTTTGGTCATAAAAACATTTAGGAATATGGCTTTTACAATTTTGGTGTTGTTTTTGAAAGTTGTCATTTCCATTCGAATGTTGGGTTGTCGATACAGTACCTCTTTAGTTCTGGGCCATATTCGTTGTTTCTTGCCTTGGATGTGGCTCTTTTCCCGAATCGTGATCATTTTTTCTTCTTTTGTTGATGAAATACTTTTATTGGATACCATAGAATGAACAGTCTATAGTGTGCATAGAATGAACAGTCTCTAGGGACTCTACAACATATAGAGAAATTGTGTAATTGTTTGAACATTTTACTTTGAGGATCCTTAATAGTTGTGTTAAATGGACCTTCTTTGTGCATAGAATGTATTAGATGTGAGAATGTGAAGGTGACAAAGTCCCGCATTGGAAAGTTGAGAAACCTAGCAAGGGCTTATAAGGTGTTGGCTACTCCCCCCATTGCCAATTGGTTTTGGGGTGGAACCTCAACTTTCCAATGTGGGACATTGTCACCTTCACATTCTCACAATAGATTCGTTATTTTATACTTGTCAATTTTCTCTAGAGGTTTCACTTTCCCGTTTAGTTAACTTCTTATTTGGTAATGTTTTTGTGTTAAGAGTTCCTTTCCCTTTGTAAACAGATAAATGGAGAATCCGAAGCAGTGAAAAGAGCATTGTTTGCAGTCTCTGCAATTATGTACAAGTTTGCTCCGAGGGAAGAGATTCCTCTTGAGACATCAGTACCAGAAGCCCCTCCAAGCATAATTATCCCATCAGATGTCTCTATTTATCAACCAGGTGGAATATATCAAAGTGCAGATCCTATCGTCCCTTCTAGATCTGTACCTCCAATTATAGGTGCTACACATGTACAAGATCTTCAAGGTTACGCGGATACAGGGAATACATGGCCCATATATTCATCTGCCCTTCCTTTAGTTTCTGGTTTCAGTGTTGCCTCCCGATCCGAGGAGTTAGTTGTGCGAGTACTGTGTCCTTTTGACAAAATTGGTCGTGTAATTGGCAAGGGTGGGGGCACAATTAAAATCATTAGGCAGGCAAGTGGCGCTCGTGTCGAGGTTGATGATACCAAGGACCGTGATGAGTGTATAATTACTGTTGCCGCAACAGAGGTATGACCGTGACGAGTGTATTATTACTATTGTTGCAATAGAGGTATGACTATGATGGCATGATGACAAGGATGAGTATACTCATCCTTTATGTTTTGGTATACTTTATAAAGTTCAAAAGTTAGGGAGAGTCCTGTATAAATCCATTTGCCACTAAATTCAGTATTTTGCATATGCTAGATGTACTACTGATGCGTTTGCATAGTATTTCCTAAGACAAAATTACATTTCGTCCTGGAAGTTCTATCAAATCCAATATTTTACTTCCTTAAGCTGTGGGTTTATGTAGATGTTAGCAACGCCAAGATCTTTTTGTGAGCATGTGCTCTTGTTTATTTACTGTTATGATGTCAAAAATGGATTTGGTTCTGAGAAAGACTCATTCTTATCCATTCCTCTGCATTTAACATTAATGCTGGATTTGTCACTAAAATTTCATGATCAACATTGTGTTGGGTGATTAAGTTGTGAATCATCTTGACTAGCGTTATCCATAGGACACACATCTGTGCTTGGTATTCATGTTCTAGTACATGTTGATCATGTTGGGTTTATTGTTTGGCAGTCGCCCGATGATCTGAAATCCATGGCAGTTGAAGCTGTTCTGTTGCTGCAAGGGAAGATAAATGACGAAGATGATGACTCTGTTTCTATTCGACTTCTTGTTCCATCTAAAGTTATTGGTTGTATTATTGGAAAAAGTGGTTCAATTATAAATGAAATCCGAAAGAGAACAAAAGCTGACGTCCGTATTTCAAAAGCTGATAAGCCTAAATGTGCTGATGCTAATGACGAACTTGTTGAGGTTGGTTTTAAATAAATACGTCTCAGCTTTGCACATACCTAGAAATTTTGTGTATCTCCAACTCCACTATGTCTTTCTTTTTTTCTTGATTCTGATTGATTGCTTGATACCTGCAAAACGAAATAAGACCACATTTTGCACCCGTTCCTGTTTTTGGAGGTTCAATGGTCGGCTTCGGTTGGAAGCATTCTTCCTTGAGCTTTATAGTTCACTTTTTTCTTGTTGATCACCTCTTTATTATTATTATAATTATTTTTCCTAATTTAGGTGGCAGGAGAACCCAGTAGTTTGAGGGATGCACTTATTCAGATTGTTCTGAGGCTCCGGGACGATGTCTTAAAGGACAGAGATGGTGGTCATAACCCCTCTGGTGGTGCTGAATCCCTGTACTCCGGTGGCACTGGTCTCTCAATCCCATCTGTCCTGCCTTCTGTCCCCCCAGTTACTTCATTGGGTTATGATCAGAGGGCTGAAAGTGGAAGTGGCTTGGGCATGCATTCTTCTGGTAGCCTCTATGGATATGGATCTATGTCGGTATGTCAATTTTAGTAATTTATTTTGGAATTGAATAAATATCGTAAATAAATCTCTGATAGTACTTGCTTGATTTTTCTATTTTAGATGGGAGAAAATGGCTATGGATCCATGTCGTCTTATTCATCCAAGTTATATGGAGGGTCAGCGTATTAAGTTTTTTTCTATTTTCTTTTGAAGCTTGCCTTTTTCGGTTTCTATTCTAGCACCCTTACACTACTTTTCAATAACATGCCTCTATGCAGGTTGCCACCCCCTTCAACACTTGAGATGTTAGTTCCTGCTAATGCAGTTGGTAAGGTGCTGGGCAAAGGAGGGGCAAATATAGCCAATATTCGGAAGGTGAGAGAATCTTTCCATTTTAGGATCTGCATCTACTGGTTGTTTATTATTTGGAGAAGGAGCAACATGGAAAATCTAGGTTGTTTCTACCTGAACATATTCAGTATGCGTCTTTGATGTCATTCCCATGTATATTTGTTTCTCCTACAGATATCAGGAGCAATGATAGAGATCTCTGACTCCAAATCTTCCCGAGGTGATCGTATTGCTCATATATCTGGCACACCTGAACAGAAGCGTACAGCAGAGAACTTGATTCAGGCGTTTATAATGGCCCCCTAACTTCCTAGGGTGCTTCTTGCTGTTTAAAGGTGAATAGTCCTTTAGGCTAATATATGTCCGATGTGTACAGCAGAGAATCTTGGGCATTTCTCTTCCTATCCTAGTCCTTTAGGTTTGGTTTTGGAGAAGGCTTCTTTTCTAGGCTTATTCAACTTGACTCTTCCTGATTTTCCCACTAAAGCGGGTATTGAGACTGAGCCAGAGGATTCACTGCAGGGTTTATGCTTAGGCATGTAGCCTTCTGTCTGTCGCCGAATCTATTCTTAATCTACAATATTAGTTCCTTTCTTTCCTGTCACATCACTTCATCTGGTCTTATCTTCGCTAATATAAAGTTCATCTTTTTCGGTATTGTCACACCCTATATTCTATAATTTGATGTTCTTGCCAGTTTCAGTAATGACCATGATTGTCAATCTTATTATATATGCATGTTATTTCTCTGGCCATTCAACTCTTGCTCTCAGCATCTTGCTCTCAGCATCTTCTCAATCAATTGTGCAAGTGAAATGCTATTGGTAATGATCTCTTCTTTTTGCTGTTCTGCGTAATTTAGATGCATACAGCAGCTTAAACGGAGAGGAACCACTTTCTGCAATTAGATAAACCCAAGGGAATCTTTTTCCTTCTTTATTCTCTATCTTCTGTCCTCATCTCGGGCATGTGAAACATCTTCACATAATCAAAATTTTGAAATCACTGTACATGTGAAATACTAATTGATCTCTTGACTTGTTTTGCCGCCATCCTCACGACAAGCATAGTAAATCTCTCAACATTTCTCTAACATTAATCAGTGTGCCCTGCACATTGAAATCTTTTGCTTCATAAGATCCTTGGATAAATCAATATTCACAATTATGGAGCTGTCTTTTTGACAGCGTGACTTCATATTGCCCTCTTGATCGCAATGGTTTTGAGCAGCTATAGGATTTTGTTTTTGCTATCTGAATCTAATCCATGAGTGAACTACTGTGCTTCCAGAGCTACTTAGTTTCTCTTTTCACAAATTCAACTAAGCTAGGTATTCAATATTACTAATTGCAAGAAACAGATTATCTGCATTAATGATGTCAGCGCATTCTCTCAACCCATGTTATCTCCTCATAGATCAAACTGCTTGCAGATTGAGATGCCATCTAGTTCTGGTGGAGATTGAGTTACCATATTCTAGTTCTAGTTGTCCATTTCGTGGTCGAATTTTTGTCTGCAAATGTGGCCTGACTGTGTTGCAGTATTGCTGTTTAGCGATGATGCTCCCCTAGAACCTGCATGCTCTTTGACATAATGCCACTCGGATCATGTCTAGATGGTTGTTGTAGTGGTTTGGCACTAATTGTTTACAGTGCTGAAACTTCTTGCTTCAGATATAGATAGATATAGGTTGTACAGAACTGTAGAATTTTAGATCAGTTCCTTTACACTAGCCATAAAGAGGATGTATCACCAAACCCATGAAACTCAAATCCATTCCCTTCATATTGATCACAATGAAAAGCTCGTAGGTTGCTGAGATAATAGGACGTATCAACAAGCCACTTGAAATTCAATTTCTTTCCTTCATATTAGTCCCAATGGAAAGTTCATATGGGTGTTCATATTGGCTCATAGGTACTTAAGACCGTCTTTTTCAAGGTCTAGTTACTTCAGCTCCATTTCGACTTTAAGATTGTTGTCAAGCCACTCTCCTCAAACAGACCTTGTACTCTTGTATTTTGACTTCAAGTGCATTTCTAGTGTTTAGAGTGGAAGTCAAGAAATCCAATTAAGATGGTGTTCTACTGTTTGGGGGGGGGGGGGGGGGGGGGGTTCGGTACATGTGGCTGCATTTTACAGGCCATTGATTGTTTGAAACTGTAACCACTGTAAAGGGGGGATCAGTTTGGGAAGGGGATGCCAAATGTGGCAACACTGAATAACTTGTATATTTGTCTGTACTGTGAAAGATTTTGTATGTACAAAGAAAACGAGTTTGCAGGTTTATGACCTTTCTCTTAACAGAGTCCAGAAAGTATTTACTTTCAACTTTGTCAAGTGCTAGATTGAGGCTTGATTATTGATTGTGAATTTTCGATCAAAGATGCTTTGTTTTGCAGCTAGCTTACATATGATAAGAGAACTCAGGAACTTAATCCAGAATTAGAAGAAGAAAAGAAAGAAAATTATAACTCCATTGAAGGGGGGAAGTTCACACACATAGATACCATAGGGGCTTAAACCGAAGACCACTTGAGAGCGCATTAAAAGTCTGAGTCAATTCAATTAACATCTCTCGATTTCCCATTTATTAAGACCTAAATTTCAAAAGGGTATCTTTATCCTATGGATTCATACGTGTACTCCACTTGATTAGATAACTTATCAAAATAAGCCAAGCAATTATCAAATGACACGTCGAAAGTAATGTAATGCTAAACAAAGCTATGAATTAGTAATTAATTCTTCACCATATCTTAAGTGACATGTTGTCTAAATGTATGTGCTTCCTTTTAAAGGATAAAATTGGTCTCCTACTTCATATACCTTTGCTTATCCATAAGAAAACACAAATCAAACATTCTATGTGAATTTAGAGAGCATTAAATCCGCGTTCAAGCAATATGTTTCACTTGATTATATGTTTGGGCACATTCAGAACATTATTTAATCATAATAAATAAGAAATTATCATATCATCATATGTGGTATTAGTTCTAAAAATAATAGTGATTTCTGGTGAATTTTGTCAAATCCTTTTGGTTAAAATATTTGTGCTTAATTCTAATGTAGACTTTTTTTTATAAAAAAAAAAAATTGTACAAGGGGAGGAGGAGTTTGAAACTACTACTCTTAATCGCTTGAGTTAAGCGAATATAAAAATATTAGATAGATTGACATGTGACGTGGCACTATTATTTAGGATCATGGATATCCTTTGGAAGGCGTATCACTGCGTCGTATAGCGACACTTATGCCAAACCCGAACAAACATGCGCGTCATTATCGTCTTCCACTTTGACAAGTGGCAAATTTACCCAGAGAAAAAGGGCGGGTTGAACATCTCATTCTTCCAAAATCACATCCAGGAAAGTTTGGTATTTAAGGAAACTGATCGCAAGAATCTAGAGGCCCAGAGCATCTCAACCATCCATCATCAATGGCGAGCAGGAGGCCTCTGCAGAGTGTGCTGAGCAGCTTGAGCTTGAACAGAGTGATCTGGAGTGGAAGGAGGAGCTTTGGTGCTATTCCTCAAGCTACTCTTCCTTCGTCTTCCCAGGAACTCATCAGCTTTGAATATGAACACAGCGCCCACAAGTCAGTTCTTTATCTTTTTCCTCCTGATCTTCGGTTCTCGTTCAAAAATTTCTCTCTTTTTTTTCTGTCACTTAAGTTGTTCTTCATTTTGCAATCTGGGTTTTTCTTGTTTTCATCTAATTCCCTCTTTATGGATTTTGGATGTGTGCCTGATGGGTTTTTTTTTTTTTTTCTTCGTGTCTTGAGCTCGGTGTGATTGAATTCTGTGTCTTTTTTTATACTTTTGGAGCCTTTGTTGATTGATCCGAGTGAAATTTTCTTTTTTCTCTTCTTTTCTGGAGTAACATTAATTCTGATAATCACGGAAAAACTATATAAAATGAGGATATTGGTATGGGATGGTTATGACAAGGTCAGGCCTCCTCCGTGAAAAAGGTGTTCTGGAGCCGCCTTGCTCCTTCTAAGTTTTTGCGTTGATGGTTTACACGTGTTAAATTCTTTGCTTGGAGTAATTTACAGAGTTTCAGTGATATCGTTTTGACAAACTTTCCTGGTGCAATTTGCAGTTACCACCCAATTCCCGTCGTATTCTCTCAAGCAAAGGGGTCATCTATATGGGATCCAGAGGGAAACAGATATCTGGACTTTCTTTCAGCTTACTCTGCTGTTAATCAGGTATAGAAAGTATGTAAATATGTTACAACACTCGTGCTTGCCGCATGCGCATACTCACTCATACATTTTGCTTACATATTTGTAACTAGCCCATGAGTGGAACTGCTTTCTGAACCATATACATTTTGCATACATATTCATTTGACAGTGGCTTTTTTCTTTAAATCTGAGTAAATGTAAAGCCAGTGAAGAAGCTTGTTCGCATAAGAAACTCCAATTTTTAAGATGTTTTTCCATTATTTGATGGAGCATCCTGCTGTAGGGACATTGTCATCCAAAGATCATGAAGGCATTACAAGAACAGGCAGAAAGGCTCACTCTTAGTTCTCGAGCTTTCTATAATGATAGATTTCCACTATTTGCTGAGTATCTAACCAGCATGCTGGGATATGACATGGTGCTGCCTATGAACACTGGTGCTGAAGCAGTGGAAACAGCTTTAAAGTTGGCGAGGAAATGGGGTTATGAGAAGAAAAAAATTCCAAAAAATGAGGTAGAATTCAAGGAGACTATCTATCTTTTGACATAGATTTTATTTGTTTTGGCTTACCTTTATATCTTCAAGTTTTTCTAGACGGGGGCACAGAGAAATGTTTCCTGAAGTCGGTTCACTGACCAGAGTAGTTCTTATTGTCTGCACCCACTGTAGAGAAAATAACTACAGGCAAATCTATTAATTTAGGGAACTAGATCACCCTCAAGTTAGAACACTTTATATTATAGCTGGCTTGATTGTTTCTCTTAGAGCTGTGCCTTTCTAGTTTGGTAACCTGCACATTACAAGAATAAAGGTACTAAGGTTATTGGCTCACATATGTCCCTAACTCAACTGAGCCATACACAGGCTATTATTGTCTCGTGTTGTGGCTGCTTCCATGGTCGTACATTGGCAGTCATCTCCATGAGCTGTGACAACGACGCAACCCGAGGTTTTGGACCCTTATTGCCTGGACATCTTAAAGTTGATTTTGGTGATGCAGTTGGCCTTGAAAAGATTTTTGAAGGTTTGGATACATTTTTTCTCCTGTTTAATAGTTTCTGGTGCTTGTTTGATATGTACTTCATCCTTCGACTAAACAAGATAACATCTGTGTAAAATCATCATATGGTTCGCACCTTTTTTTTAAATATTTATCTGTATTGCCGCAACACTACCAGATTTGTGTACTAAAATTGAACTGACAAATTTCTCTGTTTTTGGGCGCAGAGTATGGAGATAGAATAGCTGGATTTCTCTTTGAACCCATTCAGGGAGAGGCTGGGGTATGTTTTTTTTGGAATTTCAATATCGGATTGAGTTAGGATGTTCCAGAGGAATGCCATCAACTTAGACTTGTTGCATGCAGGATTCTACCATGTGTTCTAAAGCATAAAACTCAAGAAATGACCAAGTCGTTCAATTTGTTTTACATAATCATTCCCACCTTCAGTCAATTGTTTTGAGAAAATTGTCTGTTGTGTGATCACAGGTTATAATTCCTCCAGACGGTTATCTGAAATCTGTCAGAGAGCTGTGCTCAAAATATAATATTTTAATGATTGCTGATGAAATACAATCTGGTTTAGCACGGTCAGGGAAAATGCTGGCTTGTGATTGGGAGGAAGTTCGCCCAGATGTAGTGGTGAGTATCTTTAAGTATTGGTAATTTTTTTTTACTGCTGATATAGACATACCAATATTATTTCTCATATTTTATTTTGAAGTCGCCTAGCTCTAAGCACATATTTCTTCTTTATCCAAACCTTTGACAATGCGTTAAAATGCGGAAGCTATTTAGTCTTCATGATTCATAATTATACCTCTTCTTCTTTTTTCGTGTAGTTAAGTTTTTCTCCACACTGCGAGACACTGGTTTATAATTATGCTAGATATGTTTCATACTTACTAAGACTTTATGGGTTTTATTCAGATACTAGGAAAAGCATTGGGCGGTGGAGTGATACCTGTAAGTGCGGTGCTCGCAGACAAAGACGTAATGCTTTGTATCCAACCTGGAGAGCATGGAAGGTTTGCTTTTATAACTGCTTCCATTTATAGATATTTCCTTAATCCACTTACCATATTAAATTCTGTAGATGTATTTCTGGACACTAATTTTTTGACTCGAAAGGTATTTACCAAGACTGATCTCCTGATCTTTAATAGTATCCATTGTTATGCATCAAGCTTCTTTTAAAAAAGAAAAAAACATATGACATAACAGAAGCTTTCCATTCCCCTTGTGCTAGTATATCTGGTTCGAATGGATACGGAAAGAATTACTGCCCTTGGCTGTGTCCAGAAGATGGTTGGAATAGGAATGTCCCTTGGTCCATTTGTTCCACAGGGTTCAAAAGAGTAAAAACTTTTAGGAAAAACCTCACTTTTATAAGAGTTCTAGTTTACGATGTTACACCTATTTGGGTATTAGTTTATGGGAGGTCTTCCATCTTAACCTCAGTCAGAGGGATGGTGAGATGTCGATAGTCTATTTTGCACTTGCTTGCCTTCCTTTCGGTTTTATTATAATAGAGCTCACCCTGCTATTATTTGGAATTATTTGCAGTACTTTTGGGGGTAATCCATTGGCCAGTGCAGTTGCTGTTGCCTCACTAGATGTAATCAGAGATGAGAGACTTGCTGAAAGGTATTACATAGGTAGCGTGATGTTTTTTAGTATTGAGATAACTGAAAACAAAAGCTGGAAAGTGACTAACGAAGTCTTGCTGAAATATTTTATTTTTGGCCATGTATATTATCAGGTAGTGGAGAACTAAAATATGGAGAATGCATTATCTATTTATATAATCAAAATCTGTTGCTCAAGCTCACAGAGAGATTTTGGCATGCCAATCTATGAATGTGATAGTGATCCGTGGTG